CACTTTCAACACTTTCAACACCGGCAACACTTTCAACACTTCCAACACCGGCAACACTTTCAACACTTTCAACACTGGCAACACTTTCAACACCGGTAACACTTTCAACACTTTCAACACTTTCAACACCGGCAACACTTTCAACACTGGCAACACTGGAAACATCGGCAACACGGGCGAAGTATGGCCAAAGCCTAACGAGGCAAATGTTCCCCCCGGTCGAGGTTCAGTATACTATGTTGCCATTATCATGAAAAGTCGCCTCGTGCAAGGTTGTTGCCGCATCGTCTTACGTAGGTTTTATCTACATAAATCTTTTGCTTGCAGGTGGTAAATATTTTCAACATTTCCAGTTTATGTTTCTGCCTTTGTGCGTTTACGTTTATTTATCTTTTTTTTGTTTCGTTTTTCTCTGCTTACACAAAAATTAAATCGCACAGATTGAGTGGGTTTCGTGGTAGAGCCAAAACCTGATGCTTTTCGAAGCATGTCTAAGAAATACTGCAAATGATGGAAATTTTGCTTTTCCAAGTTTTTGAGAAATCTAACTTTTGTCGTATTCCGAAAAGCGTGAAATTGCGTTCTCTTGTCGGAGGCGACGCCTCAGAAGAAAAAGCACTAAGACAACTACGCACCGCAGATAATGTCGAAATTTTGATCAAAAATGTTATCTGATGGACTTGTAGAAAGGTTAATTTGTGTAATTGGGTGTCGCTGGTGGGAACGAGGTTTTATCTCAGACTAATCCTGCTTTCGTTTCCAGAATTGAAAGTGCTCGAGTAATTGGGTATTGCTGGTGGACGAGTATATATTTGTGAAAATATACCCTGTTGTATAGAAAGGAAAGCGTAAGTAACTGGATTTCGCTGGTGGAGACGAGCGTTACTTAAAGAAACGCTTGAGTCTGGGTCTCGTTAGTGAAGGTTTTTTTTGCTTTGCTTGAAACTCAACGCTTCGGGTCTTTGGGTCTCGCTGGTGGAGGGAAGCGTTTACTCGGCGAAATTCTATGCTTTGGGTGACTGGGTCTCGCTGGTGGAGATGAGCTTCTACTTAAAGAAATCCAACGCTTGAATGACTGTGTCTCGTTGGTGGAGGAAAGCGGGGCGTCGGGTAAGGAACCAACGCCAGTAAGTGCTCTCGATGGTGGAGAAGCGTTTACTCGCCGATTCAATGCTTTGGGTGATTGGGTCTCGCTGGTGGAGATGAGCTTCCATCTGGGAAAATTCAACGCTTGAATGACTGTGTCTCGTTGGTGGAGGAAAGCGGCGCTTCGGGTAACGATCTCACTCGTGGAGATGAGCTTTCACTTGGAGAAATCCAACGCTTCAGTATGTGCTCTCGATGGTGGAGGAAAGCGTTTATTTGGGGATTCAACGCTTCGGGTCTTTGAGTCTCGCTGGTGGAGGGAAGCGTTTACTCGGCGAAATTCTATGCTTTGGGTGACTGGGTCTCGCTGGTGGAGATGAGCTTCCATCTAGGAAAATTCAACGCTTGAATGACTGGGTCTCGTTGGTGGAGGAAAGCGGCGCTTCGGGTAACGATCTCACTCGTGGAGATGAGCTTCCACTTGGGGAAATCCAACGCTTGTATGTGCTCTCGATGGTGGAGGAAAGCGTTTATTTGGGGATTCAACGCTTCGGGTCTTTGAGTCTCGCTGGTGGAGGGAAGCGTTTACTCGGCGAAATTCTATGCTTTGGGTGACTGGGTCTCGTTGGTGGTGATGAGCTTCCATCTGGGAAAATCCAACGCTTGAATGACTGGGTCTCGTTAGTGGAGGAAAGCGGCGCTTCGGGTAACGATCTCTCTCCTGGAGATGAGCTTCCACTTGGGGAAATCCAATGCTTCAGTATGTGCTCTCGATGGTGGAGAAAAGCGTTTACTTGGGGATTCAATGCTTCGTGTCTTTGGGTCTCGCTGGTGGAGATGAGCCTCCATCTAGGAAAATCCAACGCTTGAATGGCTGGGTCGCGCTGGTGGAGGAAAGCGGCGCTTTGGGTAGCTGGGTCTCGCTGGTGGAGATGAGCTTCCACTTGGGGAAATCCAACGCTTGGATGACTGGGTCTCGCTGGTGGAGGAAAGGGTTCACTTGTGGAAATTTAACGTTTTGGGTAACTGGGTTTCGCCGTTGGAGATGGGTTTCCACATAGGAAAATCCAGCGCTTGAACTACTGGGTCTCGTTGTGGAGGACTTTTACTCAGATTATGCTCTTCCGTGTGGAAGAGAAAGCTTTTAGATAACTGGGTTCCGCTGGTGAAGATGTGTTTCTGTTTGAGGAAATTCCACTAGCGGTAACTGGGTCTCCTGTTGAAAATGCTTCTATTAGGGTGATCACTAAAAAATGGGGCACCTAGAGAATAAATGTAGATTTCTCAAAAAAGAAAAGTGATTAAACTTTCCAATTTTGCTAGATATTAGAATAAATTGTTCTCTTTCAGAAAATACCTATATAAGGTCATTTACATACGTAATAATTTTTAGAGTGGCTGAAATGCAAAGTTAGTCACTTTGACAAATTATAAACTTTGGGCAGTATCTGCGCAGTGAAACATGTGAGACCACCCAAAGTACCACTGCTGGAGTGGGTGGTGGGACAGTCACTAAACCCACGACAGCTTGATGGCCTCAACTTTCAAAGTCAGGAGATATAGCCAGTAGTAGCTTCGAGAACAAAGATACGGGTTATTCAATTCTTTGCAGGTGAACGCATGTTTTCTAGGTAGCATTTGATAGGGCTTTTTACGCTCTATCCATTCTTATGCAGCTTACCTCACATTTCATCTATATTCGGAAAATAGAGATTGAAAATTGATTTATTAGTTTTTGTTGCGCCAAAAAATCGCGATTTTTCAGGTGTTCTCTTTTTTACCCAGGAATAGAAAGTTATCCTGTATGTTTAATATATTGTTTGAAAGAGCATGAAGAGCTCTTTCGAATAGTATATCAATTGCTCTATAACTCTACGGTATGGCAGCGCAAGAATGAGCGATGTTCAAAAAACCCTGTTCGAGTCAGGGCGCCACGCGTAGGGTTGTGGGAGAGGAGCGTTGAAGCTTTGCCAGAATAATAGGCGAAGGTGCTTATATAAGCGACGTTAACGTTGCAGCCTGCTTGTTGTTGACCTGAAAAAAATCTCAAAATTTAATAAAAATCAAGCTGCCCCATTTTTTAGTGATCACCTTAATAATTGGGGTTATACGCTTGAGTAGTGGGTCTGGCTGGCGAGCTGGTGAAAATGAGCTTCTGCTAGGTAAAGCATCAATTATCCTATAGGAAAGGCGGTTGGGAACGAGCGCCTATTCAGAAAAATTTGCTTTTCTTTGAAGAAAGTAAAGCATTCAAGTAAGTGGGTCTCGCTGGTGGAGATGAGGGTTAATTCGAAAGATCTTCCTATTTTATATGAAGGAGAGCTTGATGATTGAGTCTGGCTGGTGAAGCCAACGCTTTCCATAAAGGATTATAGCGGGTAACTTTTTCGTACATAATTGGCAAAATTTGATCGATGATTGAAGGGCAGGGCATATAAAGAGTAACAGGGTTTCGTTGTTCGATGGCAGCTGACTCTTCAGAGAGGTCACTACCGGGGGTGACTTGGTGCCGCTGTATCGCAAAATCCGTAGAAGAAAATAGTTCTGGGAGTGCGTGTTGAGGAAATTCTGTTCTTGTTGAAAGCGAAGCGTGTGAGTGAGGATCTCTGGATGGAGGCCATGCTTTCAAGCGAAAGGAACTTTTTCGGGAAGTGCGTTTATTCCACAGATTTTCCAATATCTCATAAAAATCTGCTTTGTAGGCGTTTTCATGGGGAAACCTCACCTATACTTGTAGAAAAGCGAGTTATTGACGAGTCCCGCAAAATAAAAAGGCTCAAAGTTCAGGGTAGAGTATCAGTCCAGAAAACTTTTTCAGATGCTTCCACCCGATAAGGAGTCTACCTTGGAGCAAATTTGATGATTCGGCGGAAATTATGTTCAAGTAAAATAAAATGCAGGAAGATGTCATTGAGATACACAAACTTCCAAAACATATGCTTCGATCCACTTATAGCGACCCGCAGGGTCGCTAGTAATTTACTGTTCTGAATGGCGGAGTAACGAAAATTTCCCCCTACAAGAGCCGACTTACTGGGCCTACTTTTGATTTCCATGGGGAGATCGCTGACCCGGGTGTGAAGCGGTGAGAACCGCCTAGCGACCAGAAAAGCAGACGGCGGGGGACTTGGCCTAGCCGGCTCTTTGCTAGGCATCCGGCCGATACCGGATACGCCAAGTCCTTCACAACTTGGGAGGCCCTACCAAAGCATACACTCGGTTGTGCATCGCAGCTCGACACCGAGTGTCACCCCCAACCACGTTGAGACGGCCGACTATGGTGGGAGCCCCAGGATATAGCCCGAAAAAATAGCCAAGAGAATGATACGCAGTCTCCACGTTCTCGCCCACCCACTGAATCTAACGAGTCATAAATGCATACAGTCAATGTCAACCAAGTGGTCCCTTATCGTAGCAGCTACGCGTCCGCACCGCAAGGACTTAGCGCGGCGACTCCGATCGATGCGGCGAGTGCATGTGCAGACATTAGGCGCGCGAACGCGGCGCGAGGCTGTGGGGTTGTGATTTGGCTGGTGGAAGAAGGAATACAAGGTTAAAACGGACTATATGCTCGGCTCCAACGAGCATTTCCGCACTACCCACACTATCTACCGACACTTCAATCTCCCGAACAAGCCGGGCATTTTCAAGGAAGTGTTTTTTGCGTGTTTTAGCAAAACTAAAAAAGTTTTGAGCACGGACTTGAGTTCAGTGTGAGCAGAGGCTAGTGGATATGTCGTCGATTCGACCGAACACTGCTTTTTCAAACTCTTCAGGGCCAACCCGGAGCTTTAGCAGATGTGAGATTGCTATGGAGCTCTTTCTGGTCCATCTTATTTCCTTTTATCGCTAGCCACTGGTTGATTGCACTTTTTGAGACCTAATATTATGCATGTTCGGATGTGCTAAATGCGTTAAGCTGAGCGAGGGCCTTGGTTGTGTAATCACGGCTCGAACGCGGCAGGAGACTCAGACACTCGCACCGGCCGGCGACCGTCCGACGAGCGTCTGGAACATCACCGATATTTCGGCCGAGCCGGTCGCGGGCCGGACGCCAGCCGGTCAGAAGTTCGCACCGGCCGGCGACCGTCCGACGACCGTCTGGCGGGACAGCGTGGTCGTCTCAGCCGTTCGTGGCGCGCTCGCCAGCCGGTCATGGAACGGTCGTCGGCCGGTCAGACATTCGCACCGGCCGGCGACCGTTCCATGACCGGCTGGCGGGACAGCGTGATCCGTCTCAGCCGTACGTGCTCGCTCGCCAGCCGGTCATGGAACGGTCGTCGGCCGGAGATGGCTAGATCGCCAGCCGGCAGAGAAAACGTCGCGCGCGGCAATTCGACACCGCTTTCACGCTCTAGGCTACCCAACCACTTCTGAACCATACTTTTTGCTTATTCATTCTCTAATTTGCATGTTTTCTGTTTGATCGTTCTGTCTGTTCACCAAATTCACAAATTAAAATGATAATCTCTTCATTTGAATCCTTATCTAAACAGTAGCAATTGAAAAGCAACAATTATGAGAAATACAACACACAATACATCTAAAATCATACAAATGAACAAAACAGGGAAACAATTTGAATGCGCAATGCACATTGACATCAAATCACAAGTTTATCGAGTCCACCTATATGATGAGATCAGAAGTGGAATCGAGAGGATAAGGCAAGATAGAAATCATTGGTATGAGGCAACATAGAGTGAGGCATGCCTGCTAACGGTCATATAGCCCGTTTCTCTTGGATCAAAAAAGCCCGCAATGGTTTTTCTTTGGCTCAAGGCATATCCAGGTCAAAATTTCGTGAAAAAGTGTGCTTTATACCGGAATTCAACATGAACACGTCTATAAATACGGCTGTTTCTGCGTTTACATCAAGCCAAAACCACTGAAGTCAATTCCTTCCGAAACTTTTCCTCGAGCGACAGAGAACAAACATACACCGCGGCTGCTGTCACATATGCATCTACATACCTAAATAGAAATAAATCTAGATGTCATCAATATGGTACTATCAAAAACCTACTTTTCCAAGGCCACTGATGTTTCGGGAGCATCATTAGTTTCAATAAATAGGAGCTTCGATTTCATCAACTCGTCGATAACATGCTGGAAGTACTTGATTAAAAGCAGTACAGAAATAGCTCATTGTTCACACACAAAGCAATTCGCCCAACATGAAGACAAATCTAGCGCAAGCAAAAGAGAAGGCTGTTTTAACCTAACCTACCTAGCAACAATGTGTGCGAAACATGCAGGCGGTAGAGAATTTGCAGAACAATTTGCAGAATGTTGGAACATACCTGCTCGTACCACACAGAGATCACAGATTCCATGTATATATAGCTGGTGAAGAATACATGCCATGCAGCCATTCCATCTGGAACCGCTGCAGCCACTCTCAAGCAGTAAATTCCCGTAGTTTCGAATTACATCAACGTCGTTCCTTGGTTCAAGCGGAAAGTCATCGCAACCTGAATTACAGAAGGTTGGACCTCGTTCAGATAGTAGAAACTTGATGAGATAAGAATCGACTAATGCATACTGCGTTAACTAAGCCAATCCTCTTCATTCGCACTTTTAAGTGAAGTGTACCGAAAAATATACAAACCTTACCTGATCATTACCCCTTGCCACTACTAATGGACTCAAGCAAGGCCGAGCTAACGTCATTGTAAGGCTAGCCATAACAGCTGGCTCAAAGTCCAAAATTTTTGGATACGTCTCCAATGGTGATAGCGTTCCGGAGGTGATTACTACCTACAAAAACCATAAAAGGATATGCTCACGATCACTTGTATTTTGCCTATACCCTACCGTTTGAAAACGTTCCATTAGTGGTCAGATAGCGATCGAAACATCCATGCATGATAAGGTCAACTGTCCAGGTGTGCTTCCCTCGCTCGCTTCAATAATGATAGAAAAACCTAAAGTTACTGTGTACTAATTTTCGACAACAACTTAGTTATTGATAGCTTTTAAAGGTGAGGCACCTTCGAATCAGTGCTGACTAGCGTAAAAAGGATGGAGATTTGCATCAAACAGTGTAAGGTCGAGACATTTGCTAGCTCAAGGGTTCGCATCAAATTATCAAGTCGCTCAACACACAACCTTTACAAACGCTATTGTGTAACTAATAAAAGAAATGTAAATGAACTCAATGGCCTACCTCAAAGGCTTTCCATCAACGTACAGCGAGTTCAGGCAATAAAATAAACAGTAAACAGTCCTAAATCAAGATACATAAAGCGAAGATACAAAAATCAAACGTATTTGCAGCTCACTCTTTCAATACAGCAAATACTCCAGCTAGTGAATTGTTCATTAGCTTGAAGGGATCTTAGGATGTATCACAAGCAGATTATCACAAGTAAAAATTGCGGTCTAAGTTTATTGTAAAAACATGAAGCATAAAGCATAAACAACGTAACATAACGGCGAGACAAGGCGAGATATACGTAAGCACTGCACAAATAAGTGGAACACCGGAACATTAATAGAGGAATTGACAACTTCGATAATAAGGGAGAATTAGTTGAAGGAAGGCTGGAGTTTGGCGGGCTCAATCATGCGATGTTTGAATTTATTTTCTTACTGTATGCGCAATCCTTCGCGCTGCTTGTGTTTTTGCACACTCGAACGGCCGCCGGCCGGCACGATCACATCGTCCGCTCGCCGGCCGGTCTTTAGCTCCGCCCTAAGAGTTGGCGCGGCCGCCGGCCGGAAGGCCGTCGTCGGACGGTCGCCGGCCGGTGCGAGTGTCTGAGGATGTCTCACTCGGAGAAGAACTGACCGCTTGCCTGAGTTTCTGGTGATGGGAACGGAGAGTGCTGATGTCATCCATAAGAAGCTAGTACAGGTGAGTTTAACCAGATTTTGGCTTTAAAGATTGTCGTGCAAATTAGCTGAAAACGAGGTCTAACTATTTTTTCTAAAAGAAAAGAAGTGCTCATGTTCTTCAGGAAGAAGAATGGCTGAAGAACTTCAAGGCCAACACACAGAAGAGCGAACAACTACGTGAAGCCATAGAAACTATCACTGACAGATTTCAAGCCCGCCTTACCTCACTTCAGGAGAATGTTCTACCTATGCATGAAGTGAATGGAAGGCTACAGATCAAACAGAAAAGTATGTGAATCTTGAAGGCATTGATTGGGAACGCTTAACATTTCGAATGATATTTATAGCCTTTTCTAATAGATAATTTGTTCAGATATTCAGCGACTGATCAAGACTATTGATACCACCATTCAGTTCTATGGGCGGACGAATGAATTGGAAACATCCATAAGGTATAGTTTCTCTATATACTTTCTATCTAATGTGTTTTCTGTCTACTCTAATTTCTCATCATTTAGAGATGGAAATCCTAGCCATGATTTGGAAGCATATCTTGAGAACATGGAATGCCTCCAACAAGCAATTCAGTTCTTTGAGTCACATCCGAACTATCAGAATCAAACAGAAAACATGGTAAACTGACTTTCTGACTTGAACCGCTCATCTTATGTAGATACATCGAGTTTCTTATGAATGGTAATGCTTTTAACATCTTTTTGACACTTTTCAATCCATTTATTTTATGCCTTTTAGTTTTTTCGTATATCATTTCGTGCACTCACTACAATTCTAGAAGCTCAACCTGGAGTCTGGCTACAATGTCCTGGAGTCGGAGTATCGCTCTGTTGTGCAGAAAAACACTGTTCAAGCTGATCCTGTGGTTGTAATAGAGAGTTTGGATGATCAGTACGGTTCGTTTCCTGTCTAAAGTGTGATTTGTTCAACCTAGTTCATTTCCTCATCTTTGCGCGACGTTTTAGACGCTAGCGTAGCAATAATAACATGTACCATTGCCTTTTTAACTAATCAGTCAACTTGACCTCATCGCAGAAGGTTCCGTCTCTGAGGCACGCGCCATATTTTATCCGTTTAATCCATTTTCTGCTTCCTTGGTCAGCGAAGTGACCAATAGTGAAGTGGATGAAGTGGATCAAGCTGATTAAGTGCGAAACCGCTTCGCTATTGGTCAGTTCAATAAATTGACCAATGACGAAGCGGATCAAGTATGGCGCGTGCCTGAAGAATTGAGTCGGCAAAGCTATTTTTGTACCAGTGACGCGCAATTAGCTTTTGTCGTCTCATTAACCGCACGGGCTGGACATCACCACGGAACACGCGCCGCTTGTGGATTCTACACCCACTTCGTACTGTAAATTGTTACACGATACTTTTTTATGCTTCTTCCTAGAGCTGATGGGCTCTCGTTCCAAAGACATCAAGACAGTGCGCGATATGGCAGCTCTGACTAGACTTGGCACTTGGCTTCTTGAACGTGAAAGAACGCGGTTTCTTACCCATTACGCCAAGATAAGGTTACTTTTTTATCAGAGTTGTGTATCACATTGGCAGACTGAAAAAGTAGTCTTTTCGTAGGGGTGACAATATGATGCGAACAATCAGTGCTGTGGCTCAGCACCATGCCACACTGTATGCAAAGGCGCCCTCCCGAACTGGAGCAATCAAGAAGTAAGTCCACTAAATTTTCCGCCACTTATTTTCGATATGTTTTGGTACGTTTGGAAATATGTCTGAGGTTTTGAGTACACAGCTGTCAGAATTTTGTTGCAAGCAGTATCTGCTAATAAATTAGCGTTGTTTGTTTTCCACAGTGTTCTCAAAAAAGCAACCGGAAGGAGCGAAAAAGACAAACGATATGCCGACATCGATGGCGGGGAAACGGAGGGTGCTTTATTAATGGCGGGTTGTCTGCTGGCTTTATTGGAAGTAGAAGAGAGTGTCATGGTGAAGACCATACCGGATACAGCACGAAGAGCGCAGGTATTACCATATTTCTCATTTACTTATTTGAGCCCAACCTCCTTCAGGTTTTCCGCGAGCTCGTCGCAAACCCTCTGGGTTATGTCATACGCCACATCCAACGGGTCGTACAGGAAAGTGATAAGGGCGTGCTCCCGCTATTGCCTTTACTCCGATTTTTGTCTGCACATCAAACTCGTCTCCATAATCTTGCCACGGTTCGTTTGACACGGTATTTCTTTATGTTTGTATTATTGAAGCTTCAGAACAGCATGGCTGATGTTCCATTCGAGTCGCTGATGCGACTTCTGCGTGTCAAAGGTTCATCATACATCAACGAGTTTGTAGAAAAACTAAAGAACGACAACACCAAGTTCGTTCCTGTTGATGGTAATGTGCATCCAGTCACCGTTGCGGTAAGCAGAACTCTGAACTTTTCTATCTCGATTGCATTTCATGTTCCTTATGTTAGACTATGAACTTTCTGGCAGCCCTTACTGCCTATAGAGGTACTATCACTCAGCAACTGCTGGTTATGATGGCACCACAAGGAACGAATTCTGCGTTATTGCTGCCTAAGCTTTTTGGTAATTACTTGCGTTAATTTTTTTTGCTACATTCCCGAAAGTCCATGTGTTCAGCTCGCATACTGTCTGCTCTTGGAATGACGTTGACGAAAAAGAGTGAAAATTATGACGATCCAGCGCTTTCAAACTTGTTTCTTCTGAACAACTACAATTATATAGCCAAGGTCAGAGTTGAGTCTGTTTTTATCTAAACGAAGTATTCTTTCTTAGGCGTTGGAAGATGACGAAGATGGTTTGCTACCGGTAATCAAGGAACAAAATACACAGATTTTGTCATTTTACCGAACAGAAATTGAAAAGTATATCAACAATTATATCAGAAGGTATGTTTAGTTTGCCGTTATTATGCTTAATACGCACTTGTCTGTGATAGTTACGGTAGACAGTGGATTTTCAGTTGGCATCCGTGCATAGCAACTCTTCACGATGTTCATCGAATCTTAGATGATAAGAACATGATCAGAAATATGCTTGTGGTGAGTTTTGGTTTATCTATATATGAATTTCCTATCTAATTATTCGAGCTCTTTAAATCTTATGTTTTTCTTTGCATTCATTTTTAACTTCGTAACCTCACAATGTCTTTCTTCACATTCTCTGCCTTCGTTCTGTCTACACAGTGTTGTATGGTGCTGTTCGGAATCTTTAAGTACATGAAAGACATTTTATGTTCTCCTTTCTGAACTGCTGCTTTCCTCATTTAATCGCAGCAAATAGTCTCTACCTGGGTCCAAAATATCTGCGAGTACAAATCGCGCAATTCAGCGATTTTTATCCTGTTGAAAATATTGTTTTAGCTGTTAGTCGTTTTGAATTCGTAGTTAAGGGTCAACCGGATCCTCAGAATTCTTTTGAGCTTCTTCTTGCGACAGCTTTTTTGTATTCTCTGATGTTTAAACCTCTGCGTTTTTTCATGTAAACAAAAGTGATTTTAGAATTTTACGCGTGAGTTCGACCAAACTGTTGCATTACAACGCGACTATTGCATAGTCGACCTGAAGCTACGCGAACTTGTTTGCGAGAATGTGAAGAGAGCACTGGTACCTGTCTACATTCCTCTCCTGCAAAGAGTAACCAGCTGTGGAGAGCAGTTTTTCTCGAAGCAGTTGAAGTATACCAAAGAGTCGCTCGAATCCAGCATTGATCGCCTTTTCGATGCTTCCACTTGATCATTTTGGTTGTCTGAGAGTTGTGCAGGCTTGTGATCATAATCTGTTTGTTATTTTTCTTTGGGTTATTTTAATCTAAGCTAGTATTTCATTCTGTTCCTGTTCTTGTTATCCACAATTTAGCTTGAATTTTGGGCATCATCACGTGTCTCATCACAACCATCTATACTCTGTATTCGTACCCTATCGTCCTACTTAGCCTGCGATTCTCCGTACCCTACATAAATGCGATATGTTAACAATCTCAGATTCCAAAATTGTGATAATTTCCCTTAGTCAGCTACTTAAGCATAATTCTGTAATTGCAATGTCCTTGTTTTGTGTTTACAATGTTGCCGATAAGAATGAGTTTTTGTTCCTTCCTGAGCTCTCTTATCTTGGACTTTTCACGTTGTTTTTCTTGAAATTCACTACTTACAATAAAGGGATTGTTCAACTTTGTATTACATACATTTTTCTGCCACACTCGGTACATGTTTTTCTTATTATGTCTCATGCACTTGTGGTTTTCTAATCAACAGGGATATTAGATCAAGTCACTGTCGCAGAGGAAAATTGAGGAGCCATCATATGGAAAAGCCCTATGACTGACAAGGGAAGGAAGGTTGGTCGAAGCGGCCTTTGAAATGAGGTGTATATTGCCTTGTAGAACTTAGAACGCTGATTCCAAATCTACCTTTGCTATCTGCTGCGGGCTTCTGGGCGAGGAGTTATGAAGGTTTTAACGAGTAAAAATCTGAATGCAAGAATAGGGTAAAATCAGTCGTAACCTTTTCCCAATGTTCAAATGAAGCAGCAGCGAACTGGTTTATTTGAATCAAGAATATTTGTTGCACCGAGTGACCCGACTATCATTCAAGCCCTATAAAAAATGTTACAACTGATTTTAGCCTACTCTTGCATTGAGATTTTTACTCACAAAAACCTTCATAACTCCTCGCCCAGATGCCCGCAGCAGATAGCATAGGTAGACTTGGAATCAGCGTTCCAAGCTCTATAAGGCAGTTTACATCTCATTTCAAAAGGCCACTTCGACCAACCTTCCTTTCCTTGTGAGAAAGATTGCTTGTAAGGAATTACTTTGAGAGGGCGCTCAACAACTCCAAAATAATGATGAGAGTGTTGGCGTGTGCATGCAGTTTCAATAAATTTTGTCGTATTTTGAGTAGCTAGATCTTAAGCATAAGTTCCATATCAAATTTGTAATCTCATGCGATAGACATAGGCTTTAATGAAGACGATATCGTCAATCAAACGAGATGATTTTTCGGGTGGACCAAAAGTCTTTTAACGTATCTGTTTATTTCTGTAAACTCGATGTAATTATTGTAGAAGTGTGTTAGTGGGTGCACGTCAGCTAAGCATGATGATTTTATGCGAATATCCTTTTAGTTAAAGCGAAATTGAAGCACCTTTCCAACTGTCTTTTTTATGCTAAAATGACTTAGATTTTGCAGCAGTAACTGACTAAAGTGCAGGATTTTGATTGCGACATTCTTCTGTCGACTAAATCTACACGTCCTACACCGTAATCGCACCTCGGAAGGGCTACGGGTTCAAAGTCTTAGGAACCAATCCAGTCTAATGGTATCCAGCTGTCCGCTATAACGACAGATTCCATTTTGTTTCTCCAATCACAAGCCTTGAATGCATTCAACACGGCTACCACAAAAATATTTTAATTTTAACGAAATAGTCAACTGAAAGGAAACCCAGTGGCATATACAACACAGATTACAACAGGAGCTGCGATCGTAGTGGGGAAAATGTAATAGCTCGACAGTCGTAGGCTCTATTAGTATGTTTCATCAACTTCGCCAAACGTATTGGCATTCGATGATGTTTGGAAACTACAAAATGGTCTAGATATTCCACGCACATTCCAACACCCAGTCAAATTTGAGCACACTTTTTTTTACACAAACAGGTATCATGGTCAGATCGTAAACTACATTTTGGATTAGCGATCGTTTGATCTCTTCTGATTATCGTTTTGCGAAGCAAATTCTTAAAAGGAATTATGCGGTAGACTTGTGCGACTTTGATATTTTTTTCTGCAAAATTAATCTGCGAACACAAGAATATCAATTTAGGTGAAATAAGATATCTTATCACGAATGTTGTCGTCAGAGACAGTGTCCAGACAACTTGGAGTAACTGGTAGTGGATATTCTTATGTGGAAAGTGGTTGAGAATTCTTAAATAAACTATCGCCGAAGCGTCATCTCATGTCATTCATTCGTAGCTGGGAGCATTAGCTGTGAACTGAGCCGAGACCGAGTTCTTTCTAAGCGTTTCAATAAGAAGTTTTTTACGGCAAGTTGCTGGTATAATCGCGAAAATAGCTTGATCTTGGATAGGTACACACTTGCTATTACAAAAATTTCAAGCAGTATATGTGAGACTCATCTTCCACAGGAGCAGCTGCACTTGTGCATGACAAGAGCTGTCGGACATGCCTAATAGGCGGATGTGGTTGAAAACCCATTTTATTAATTTGTATTGCTCATTCTTCTCCGCTCCCATTTTGCACTTCTTCTTCCCTTTTGAAATGATTGAAAACTAATTGTTTCAGGATCCGTAGAGCTGCCCTTACAGGGATGGTAGCATGGAAAGCTGCTTCTTCAATCATAGTTGGTAGGCTTTTAATACGGTACAGACTCAGTTTGAATTAGGTCTGACGGTCGACACTTCCACTAACACACCAGTCATTCAAAAGACTCTCAGTTGCTGCCACTATAGCGAAAACAAACCTTGTTATACGCTGTATGACCATTTGTATATTTAGTGAGCAGTACCACTGGACGTGTGCTGGTAATGAGACGTGGTCCCACAGCCAAGTTCATGCCTAATGCTGTGGTCTTTCCCGGTGGCGTAGCGATTACTGCGGACGAAAAAATGGGCCCACCAACTAAAGTTGCAGCCTTGAGAGTAAGCATTTGAGGATTTGACTAAAATCATGGTCATAAAAGGCAAAGACGGAAATTGCTGTGCTGAGGATTATAGAAACTAACTAGCTGGCAAACCCGGCTCCGCCCGGCCCTGTCATTATTATATTCGTAATCAGCATGCTCGATTACCCCCTGTGCCAACTCCCAGCCCCGTAGCTCAAATTTTGCAAAAAATCGATAAAACGATATCGATCGATAACGAAAGGTAGCCTATGACACGCTCCCTGCCCCGAAGTGTAAGTGTGCCAAGTTTGGTCCAAATCGGTTCAGAAATAAAAGTTTCTATTTCGCACATATGTACAGACAGACATACATACACACATTCAGCTTTATAGATAAGATTTTGCAGAGTGCGGAATATAATCCGAGATGCCATGTTTTCATTGATTGATTTTGTAGTTGACATCAGTCTCCTAGACGTAGAAAGCAAAACTAGATTAGCATTCATACCTACTCAAACATAATCTCAGAGCTGCCTATGTGCAGAATCTCACTGAAAAATTTATTTGAGGATCCCATATGTGGTGAAAAGTATTACAGGCATTTGTTGCGAAAGTTCTGTAATGATAGTTTAGGAGCTTTTCGAAGAGACTGGTCTACTTATTGGTCAGAATGAATCAGCTTCAACATCAAGTGAACTGCAAGACTTACAATTGAAGACTAGGGATAATCCGAAGCTTTTCAAACTAGTCCGTGATTTTTGTAGAAGAAGTAGTCAGCTTCAAGAATAGATGATTTTCAGGCTTGTCCTGATCCACCAGTCAACGACTTGATAGAGTGGAACACATGGCTCACACCCTCGTCATACAAACAACGTTTCATGACATCTTTTTTTCTTGTGCGGGTAAATGGTATGCTGTTCTGAAGTATACATAATTCATGTCATGGCACAGATACTCCAAAACACTAGAGAAATTTTCCCAATTTATGAGATCTTTTTCCATTACAGAGAACCTTGACTTGGGAAGTAATTGGTAGTCTGGGAAGATTTAGAATTCTTTTCTGTATTACTACTACAGAATGGACATGAGCTTGTCGAGCACTGCTGTGAATCATATCCGTTCAGCTTCCTAATTAAGGAAATTACCAGCAAATGGGAAAGGGGACGCGAGTTACAGTATTATAATGGGTCGCGAAATACTTGAAAGTTACTTCGTGAGGCAAAAATGTGCAATGACTTGTTTACACCTTCAAATAATATAATTCTTAGGATTGTTTGAGAATTCCAATCAGCTTGTAAAAATTGGGTTATGGGCTCGCCAAAATTGCAACTCAAAAATGGCTAACGCCACGCACCTTTACTCCAATTTTTGTCCCTTCCCCGAGCGAAATTTCTGCAATCGCCACTGAACATAATCGATCCAATTCAGTGGAGTTGCTTCAGGTGAGCCAGATATCAGGATTTGCGAGAAAGAGATGTCACATTATTCATGGAGTGATCCAAAGGATTGCTTACTGAAGGGATCAACAGGAGAAGTGATCTTACCACCACCGCAAGTGTACGAACTGAGTAGAATTGCTCAAGTAAACTAATTTTTTAAGTCTCCTACTTTCTCATGGTACGACCTCATATTTCTAGACCCCTACCGAGAAACTGCATCTGTTTGGAAATACCACACATATTTTCTGTCCCCAAACAATCACATGGCCAGATGGAAAGAAAATTACGAATGTGCTACCTGGAGATCACTTGTACATAGGTAAGCGGACACTTAATGCTAGGAGCCTTGCTTAACACGTTGACGACCGCGCCATTTTGGGCGAAACTCCCACTAACGCCCTTCGCGCATTTGGCCCGTGCATACGCGCGGATGCACGAAAACATTATGTGGGAGTTCTTTTGACGTTTATTCATAAAACATGTGAACTTTGTTCAGAGATGAATGTATATCACAAAGCCTTACCAGAACTTACACAAATCAATTGTTGCGTGGATTTTTCCTCCCAATAACCGCGCAATCGCTAAATTGGAGGAATTTCTTTTCAAAAGAAAAACGCTGTAATACCAGGTATTTTTTGCTTGATTCATCCTTTTTTGCTTTCGAAACAGCTTTACAGAGTTTTAACCTTCTCGGAAAAACGTAATTAGCATATGTTTACCTTACCAAAAACCGACTGATTACCCATTTTTGCGGCCCAAACTTCTGAACAGCTGCCGCGATGCCCTGTGTTCTGTAAGATTATCAGGCCACCCGTAGTATTACTGCATAGAAGTTACCTTAAAACTTTTCGTTTACAACTAAAAAACTAGCGTGCATATGCGCGGATGCACGAAAATGCTAAACGGGAGTTAGGGCGTGCATACGCGCGGATGCATACGGTCGTCAACGTGTTAATGACGTATTTCTCTAATCCTTCCAGCCTGAAATTCGTTTTACGCCATTAAATTATCTAGCATCAAACGTGACTCCAGTTCCTATGAACTTCAGTCGTAGCTAGCATTCACCTCTCTACCTATACCCAAACGAGAAGAATGTCAAAAATTACTCCAGAACAGACTTTTTATATTGATTGTTTCTTCTATGTGCGATATCCAGATTATGTCCGGCGCGAATATTTCTTTGGTAGATGTCGTTTTCAACAGATTCTCAGAATTCAGAAAATGACTGCTTCAAACAACCGCCACGCAGTCTCACCGAAGACGAGGTCCGAGTTGACTTGCACAAAGCCACTCACCGACAAGAGTTTAAATCTAAGCCCTTGTATGCATTGTGCCGGTTGTACATGCATAACTTACCGGAAAAGTACAGAACGGCTCTCCATCAATTTGAAGCAGACACCTCAAAGTTGTAACCCCACGACTACTGACGTGGGGCTACAACTTATTGTAGTACACTTGTTCAGCTTATATGTTCAACGTTTCACTCAGTTTTCTTATTCTCTAACTTACATTTAATTCTATAAGGTTGTCTCATAAGTTTTTTATCTCAAATTTGATACTCAAAGCAATAAGTTACATAGTTCTTGATATAGTTCGATAGAGCAAATCAAGCTTTATCAGATGGCATGTAAACGTTCGCATCAATTTCAATACAGTACGAGTAAGAGACCGAAATCTAAGGAGTTTCGTCAGGAAAATTTGAAAACATTTATATCCTCGTCCAGAGAGAACTTACCGTTGTTGTGTTCGTGAACAGCTTCAGCGGAGACTCTTTATCTGCCTTCCAGTGACAAGCAGTAAAACTGAAACTCTCTACGAACTAGGCTGCTATTTATAGCTTACTTATTTACATAAACAGATCATAATGGAAAACATGAGATTATTCTATCAACTCATTTCTACTTAGCAGCCTTCACTATTACAGTCACAACACCTCCCCCAGTAGGGTAGTTACAACTCAAACTAGCCTACTACATTGGTAAGTACAATATACATCAACAATCAGATCACATGAGCTGTATCGCAGAATCTTTTGATTGTGACATTCTCTGTGACCATAGGCTGCATAGATAGTTGATGTCTAGTTCTTAACGGAGGTGATTTTAATTCTTGTGGGAAGTGTGGCGGAATCTCTTGGTTCATATTCTTTACTATGCTTTTATTTCTTCGTAGGCCTTCATCTCCTGTCGGCCTCTCCTCCCCCTCAGGCTTCTTGATTCCACGTTTCAGGACATCAGTGAAGCGCTCTTCTTGTCCATTTGACTGGGGATGATAAGGAGCAGTCTTTTTGTGCAAAGTTCCTTCTTCTTCAGACATGCTCTTGAACAGTTCTGACGTCTGAGTTCCATTGTCAGTCACGATAGTATGCAGTGGTTCATATCTAGCAAACATTTTCAAAACTTTCACAGTCCTTGTCGCAGCGATATTGTACATCTCAACAATTTCCAGGAGTCTGTCCAGTTCCTTCTCGACAGTTTCAAAAGCAGAATGGGGGACAGATCTGCAAGTCTTGAACACTGGATGGAATCTTCCACCAACCTGCATGTCTGCTTTCTCCTTGGTGCATAATCCTAGACCATCTTTGCATACTTCTGAATAAGCATTTTTCAACTTCTGTGCCATAATATCATTCTGGTCGGCCTTCACATTTGCGATCATCCTTTCCAAGTGATAGGTCATCTCTTCATTCTTCCGTATCCAGTCGATACCTAACAAAGAATTGTGAGGAGTAACATACGCGTAGCCTTCACTCTTGGATCCTTTTAGCTCGAAGTTGCACCACAGTTTGCCGTATATCTTCATAGAGTTTCCACTGGCGTCCTTGACAGAAACATTCGTCTTTTCAAGGTTTGGAGCACCCATTTTCTTCCAGACTAACTCGTTCAACAGCGTGATATCCGATCCTGTATCAAGCAAAAACTTTACTGACTGACCATTTACTTTCGTTTCCAGATATACTCGTGGAGAGTTTACATCCATCGTGGCATTTGCGATCTTCACTACATTCCGAACATGTGGATGGGTTGCAAGTCTCGTTTTCTTCTTTCTTCGCTTCATTCTGATGTTGCCACTGCTTCCAACATTTCTTGCATTGGTACTTGCTTGGTCAGCTAGATTTCTTCTGTTGATAAGTTCACAGAACTTTTCTTTATGCCCTGTTGTCTTGCACTTCTTGCAGAACCACAACTTTGCTTTGCAATCTTTGAACAAATGCTGCCCAAAACAGTTCCAGCATTCCAACATCCTGCGTTCTTCTTTGACTGCTTCTACCACTCTCGTGTTATTTCCAGCTATAGTCTCGCTATCCTTCTTCAAGCTAAGAAAATTTTCGCATTCTGAGTAGAGTTCTTGTAGGGTCATCTTATGTTCGGCTTTGTACTCCTTGTCCAACACTGCAATAAGTCTTTGCCTTATTTCAGCTTCCTTTGGACTCTTCAGTCCGAAAATCCATAGTAGGCACTTGATTCCGTCGCTATCCAGTTCATGGATCTTCGCTTTTTCACAGAGTTCGTTAACTCTTCCAGTGTACAAGAGGTAATCTTCGAACTCTTTCTTCTCCAGCTTTAGACACTGATACCTTAGTGTAAACGGCGAAGTCTTCATGTCGAAAAGCTGCTTCAGGATTGAAACTGTCTCTTCGAATCCTATAGCGTTTACTTGTCTGGGTAGTATGTGTCTCTGATACTTTTCAAAGTCTTCTCTGTCCAACTTTTCACAGAGAAGTCGCACTCTAGCACTTTCCGTTAGCGGCTTGGCATCTTCGATAAACACGTCCTTGTAGCGTGCGTACCACTGGCTGAAGCTAAGGTTGGCTTCAGGATCGAACGTAAATTTCTCGATCCTATTGCTCAAAGCGCACATAAGATTCGGCGCATCTGCTGCGGTACTGCTCTGCCCAGTACCGGCGCCCTGGCCACGAGCGATGGCCTCAAGAATGGCTTTCATCTGTTCTTGGTGCAGGCGCATCTGCTCCTGCATGACTTGTAGCACGCTCTCCAATGGAGAAACATGCTGTCTGCCCTCCATAGGCTTGTCGTCCATCGAACTGCTGCCCTCCATCAGTCTATCGTCCGTCATTCCGCCGTCCATCGCTCTGCCGTCCGTTGTTCTGCCATCCGTTGAAGAAGTCTTCGTCTTCTTTCTTCTCGAGTCTCCGCTGCTCATCCTGATCGCCAGTTTGTTGTGTTCGTGAACAGCTTCAGCGGAGACTCTTTATCTGCCTTCCAGTGACAAGCAGTAAAACTGAAACTCTCTACGAACTAGGCTGCTATTTATAGCTTACTTATTTACATAAACAGATCATAATGGAAAACATGAGATTATTCTATCAACTCATTTCTACTTAGCAGCCTTCACTATTACAGTCACAACAACCGTAACTCCCACTTGCTCATGTATATTATGCACTCCACAAACATTCATTACGCCGTTGGTGTAGCTTTTTTCTCGGTTGAAAACCGAGAAAACTTAAGTTTTTGAGTTTCACAAAAGCGATGTTGTGCTGTTCATACATGAAAAAATGTATACTACAGGCCTTCGAAAATGCAACCGTAAATTTACAGCTTCCTAGAAGCGCAGTTTTCGAGAAATATCTAATTTAGCTTTGTAGTCCACTGTGCTATGAGTTGTCACGCGGGACTTTCGTGGGATTGATTGTGTGCATAACGTGGACGCGACATTCCGAACTTGGTTAACCACGTTTCGGACCGCGGAATCGCGCGCGGCGAAAAATGTACTTTCAGCCGTTAGCCTACAAATGGACCTTATTTCGCAGCCTGTGGGCCACATCTATAATCAGCATGTCAGATAAGATTCATACCCAAAGTTCTGAGTGATTTCGAAGTGTTTGAATTTTGTCGCTTGAGACGGACTTTTGTGCTTTCTTGAAAGAGAGGAGTAAGAATTCATTTTCAAATAGTATTCAAAAGTATCTGCCGTTTGATTCAACTGGCTCGGCATCGGCAAAGGCGGGGCTTCGTGACCTAATTAAGGCTAGGCAATGATCAGAGAGCACCCGGGCGAGAGAGACGCAGGTGCGTCGCGGGCGCGAGCGGCCTCAATTAGATCACAAAACCCCGCTCTAATGGTGCCAAGCCAGTTGAATCAAATGTTATGTTGTACACGGTACAGATCAGTATTGAAACTACAGTTTTTCTTTTTGATATCGAAGCAAAGAAAAGTTGCGACGTCGCACGCGTCGTTCGCGTTGCCGCACTTCGTTGCACCTGTTGTTCGATCCGTCCTCGTATCTCCTAGACAAATATGCGCGGCACAGCTTCACAGAGTCATTCGAAAAATAGGAGCTTAGGTCTTTGGCTTAACAACTTTGAACTGAAAGGAAACCTCCTGTAGACGCAAGAAAGATCCTGTAAAGCAGCGTGCTGCACCAGTGCAGCACCGATCCGGAACGTGTTAATATAAACTTTATTGTGATGATGCTAACGATCTACACAAGCGGCTACGACTACAAAATACCATGTTTTTACAAGTCGGATCTGTGACACTGATAAGTTCTGTGAGTGTGTGAACTGTGAAGCTTGCTGTGCTTTGCCATTTCGGTCAGAGTCATATCCTTGGCGTGTCACTTCATGTCAAAGTTCTATGATTGATCCTCTGGGTTGCTAGATATCCAAGTTTGAGGTTCTTCCTTGAGACCATTCTCGATCGTATCGCTGACGTTGCAACTCCGTTTTGAGTGCTGCGGCGTTGTACGTTTCTCGGAGCATATGACATCCGCTTTCATTACCTCTACCTATCTCCTGCTCATCTTCGTAGACTTCTTTCGCTCTTTATGCATATGCTTTGCAAGATTCCGTTTGTGTCCTTTTTAGCTTCAAACAAATTGTCGTGGTTCTGAATATCCAGTCCTTAGATCGAGTATCAAGATCACATTTTCTCAACTCGTTCAGGAACATGAGTCGATCAATCTCCTCAACTTCCCCCGCCGCGACCAGAATTTTGTAACATGCATGAGCGAGCAGTAGTTAATCTTCTCAAGAAATCAGCTCTCCCTTTTCCTCTAAATGCCATGCACAAAGTTTTTTGAATTCAAGCACTTAAAGGCAGTGTCCGGGCAAAAACTCGATTTTGAGATTTTTTGCTTACCCGGACCTATCCGCTAGGCTGAATCCGAAAATCCACACTGGAGAGCACGAAAACGACGAAAAAAGGCTCTAACACTGGAGGGAAATCAGCAAGTGGACGGGGTCTTCCCCACTGCGAATTCACGCTTCCAGCTTCCAGAGCAATTTTCTCGAATCCGTTAGCCGCCCTGACATCACTACCGATCAAGTGCAAACGAATGACTTGAAACCGGAATTAAAAAGATCGCCCCCGAAGCTGGGAGCGTGAATTCACAGTGGGGAAAACCCCGCCCACTTGTTGGCTTCCCTCCACTGTTAGAGCCGTTTTTCGTCGTTTTCGCGCTCTCCAATGTGGATTTTCGGATTCAGCATAGCGAATAGGCTCGGGTAAGCACAAAATCTCAAAATCGAGTTTTTGCCCGGACACTGCCTTTAAAGGCAGTGGCTCGGCAAATCTCAGCCTAGTCAAATTTGCGCTTATTTGGGGTTTTTCAATACGCTGATCCCGAAAATCCACTTTTGAAAGCTTGAAAACGGCGAAAATGAGCGTTTTTCAATGCCCTTCCCCTTGGAATTGGACGAGTGGAGCAAGGCTGATGACGCTAAATCTTTGCGGGACCCAATGGTTATAGCATTGCGGCGGGCAGCCTTCAAGGTGAGAAAGAAACCTACTCGTCCGGATGCGTGTAAAATTGACCTGCGCGTGTAAGTTTGAGAGCAATTATCTTGGCAGGGAAAGCATGCTGTGCAACCGAGATTGCACTGTTTTCATACTTGGGCGATAAGGAACCTACCGCGTTAAAATCCCAAGTTGTTGGATTTTGCCGATCCACTGCCTTTAACGCAAAGAAGGTCATCCATCTTTTTTGTTTGAGAGAGATGAGAACCAGCTTCGCCTGTGTAAGCCGATTGTCAAACTCATTGCATTTGTTACCACAGAGTCTACTTTTGCCGAATCTGTGCCTCGTAGTTTCGATGGTGACTCTTCAACAGTGTTTTTCTTTCAGTTCTTACTGCACTCTTTTGTCGAGCTCTGCGATGCTTTCGTCCCAATTTTCCATATTGTAGAAAAAGTGTCAGCAACTTAATTTCTTGTGTTCTTATCTAGTTTCTATTCAAGTGTTCAAACCACTCCCAGGCTTCTCGTTGGTGCTACAGCTCCATTTCCAGTCCTGTGAGGGCGCCGTGCATTTCCTTGAGTAGATGACACTCGCTTTCGTTGCCCCTTCTAATTTCTTGTTCAACCTCATAGCTTGCTTAGTCGTCTAGGAGGGCGTTGTACCCTGTGCGAATTCTATGCAGGATTGGTCCTATGGTGTCCCTGTTTGTACCTTCGTAGGACCTGCTTCGGTTCGGGGCAACCAAGTTCCCCAGGGCCGGTATGTATCAATCTCCCTCTCGGGAAGGGGTTCCCGTCTGGGTCGTTGCCGGACCGGGCACGGGCGCCCGCACCCGCGATGCACCATTCTGGGATGTTACTCGGGCAAGAGCCCGGACTGCCTAGTTGGGGATCAGTAGCACGCGTGCTGACGCATATGTAATGTGCCTCCTGGCGCATTCTGGGAGTGACGCCCTTCACTCATTTTTGTGCATTTTTTCTCCGAATTTGAGTCCGTGCATGTTTCTTCATCGGTTTCTGTTCTCTGACCATATTTTTTGTCTTTTCTCGCAGTAGAAATCTGAAACTGGCGTCTAACTGCATTGAGCAATAGAATTCAGTATTCATGCGCATGTACTTTTATTAGTTTAACTAACTCAGTATAAACATGTATGAATCACAATCTTAATTAAAGATGTTTCTTTGCCAATTATCATGACAAAGATTCAAAATTTCTGGTACGATATCAGTAAACAGTAAAAGAAACGTTTGTAGGCGAACAAAAAAAGTGATTGAAAGACTTCCTTTCGTTCCTACCCTTGGACGGAAAAAGAATATTCAGCCCTTCCCGGAACTCGTCAGCAAGGAGGGAGGGCCTATTCGATAAAATTGAAAGAGAAAAGCATCTCAAGGAAACAAAAACTTTACCTACCAAACTGTCCTTGTCCCAATCGCATCAACATAGCACTTTGCGTGCTTATAGAATGCTACAATAAAGCCAAGATAAGAGAGGAAACTCTATGAAATAAAAACAGCAACAAGACCGGATACAGACTTTGTGCCGGTATGCACTTGCTCATTCCTGCATGCAAAACTATGTTTGAAATAATTACATACACATACATCAAAATGTTGAAGAAGAATGATCCTCCTCTACAATGTGTGTGAGAAACATTTCTATGAGAATGTGACATCACACAAAAGCAAAGAAGGATCAGTCAAAAAAATCAATAATCAAACAAAATCATAAAATCTCATTTTGGTGGGAAAACAGGCACAGCCTGCGACCAAATGATAAAAAAGAGTAAAAACCAGGCAGGATTTTGTCTGGTTTGCTTATCAAGCATAAAGAAAGGAAAACAAAACCGAAAAAGTTAAAGAACTCACCTATAGCGCATAGAAGGGAGCACTAGCGAATCTGCGCCGAATTCGAGATAACAGTATTAGGCGTAAAATATATTATTTTTGGTGTGCCGTGAGTAATCACGGCTGACGCGCATTCTGCAACGTCTAAATTGGTGGTGATGGGTTGAAGTTACGCTCAAAATGTCAAAGTAAGGATAACATTGTGGGATAATGGAGCGTAGTTGAAGTGCATGCAAATTACAATCATGCACGTTATGATTACTTGCAAATAGCTACTAAGAAAGTAATTCAAATTGAACAAAAGAAAGAAAACAAGCTTCCGTTTCGTTCCTTCCCTTAGACGGAACACAAATCCAAGAAAAATCAACAAACAAGCCCTCCCCGGAACTCTTCAGTAAGGAGGGAGGGCGTAACACAGTAAAGAGAATAAAAAACTCACCAATTTCAGCAAAAAACGCGATGAGTTGCATCTCCCGTCGCGAGTGCCCGATCCCGCGAGATCGGGCTTTCCTGCCCGTCCGGGCTGGGCGCCTGCGAGTTTCATACATCATGGGTCGGGCGCCCGCTCCCGCCAGGGCGTTCATTTCCAATGGTTAAGGAGCGCCCGGGCGCGGTTCGGGAGATTGATACATACCGGCCCAGGTCGTGTAGGCACCTGGACCACTGTTTCTTCCAATTCGTTTAAGAACATGACTCTGTCGATTTCTTCAGCTTCGTTCGCCGCTACCAAAATTTCATACCATTCATGGGCTAGAAGTAGTTGGTCTGACCACGAATTTAACTCTCCCTTCTCCTCGATATGCCGCGCCCGGAGTTCCTTGAACTCCAATATGCATCGCAACGATTCCGATGTTGTGTAGGACGTTTCCCATCTCCTTTGTTTCAGAGTCCACACGTAACAAAAACGTTGCTGTCGGCATAGTCAGTGCGCATTGGGTTAGGAAAAAAATTAATGTGCCGGTTAGACATCCCGGTAGGAGATAAAGGGGGTTGCTTGGCTTTGATTTGGGCCGTATGCTGTGAGAAAGCGACGTGCAAACTCTCCCTTTACCTCGGGCGGCACTGAAACCAAAGGGAGAGCAACTGACCATGAGCTGCTGTAGGAATACATAAACGTCTTCCGCATCGTCCTGCCGTAGGAGAAAGGTCCTTCCTCGATGATTGGACGCGGAAGAAGAATTGATTTTACGCAGCGTAAAAAGGAACATTGAGGAGTTGGCCACTCATGTCTGATGACAACCTCGGATAACTGAAAGTTGGTTGGGCCGAGGTGATTAAACATTCAGAGCTGGACAGCGGTGATGGATGGCGTTAAAAAAAGGGTTTCACTGAAGCCAAAAGAAACAACTGAGGCTACATGAAAAAAAAATTTGTTGGAGTTTACGGTGGCAGTCTGTGACCTGTTACAATTGCTACATCTGAATCTGTGACCGCCGGACTTGCCTATCATGGACCCTCCTTTTCAAGGGTAAGTGTATTTACAGAACTTTCTCTTCAGAATTCTTTTTCTTCCCGAGGCATGCACGAAGACATCGGAAAGGCACCATCTACAGGACCCGAAGCAGACAGAACACCAATCTGAAGAAGGTAATGAGCATGCGAACAATTGTGGTTACAATTGTGCACAGAAAAGCATTGGTCACCGCGAAGTACGTCAATAGAAGAGCGAGTAGAACTAGCGCCGCCGTGACTGCTAGCGTCGTCCACCATGCAAGGAAGGTTCGTGCGATGTCCCAAATCCGGCAGATTGATTTCCGAATAGACTTCGCTTTCCCCTTCCAGGACGCGGCGTGCGGCTACTCTGTAGACTACCTGTGTAGTGTAGTAGTCCTGTGAATTTAAAACTATTTCGTGTTGTACCGCATTTGATTGTGCATTCCCGATAAAATAGTGCCTTGTTGCTAATAAAGCTTATGGTTGTTGGTACTCCTGTGTCATTGCATGGTATTGTGAACACATTGTCCCCGCATTGGATCTCCGCCAGTGTAGGTGTAGTAAATCTGCAGGTGATCAATGCCTTGGCCCCCTTTGCGCATTTATAACATCTCGTGCAATGCGCGTCTTCGCTGGTGCATATTGCGTCTGTTCTTATTGATGTTGTGCTGAATATTCCTTTGATTCTTAGCAAATGCCGCTGTTGGGAGTTGCGGTATCTTCGATATGATTGTTCCGTTTTTCGCTCGAAATTCGAAATTTGGTCGTATTATGGGTAACGTATATTGTGGTTCCCTGCTATGAGGTGCTGTGAGGTTCATTTCTTTGCAGTCGCATTTCATCCTCACCTCCGCTGGTGTGCAGTCGCACTCCTCCCTCACGTCACAAGTGAGGGTCGCGGCATCCTGCTGTGTTTGCACGCGAGCGGTGGTTTAAAGTATGTGGGTACTACTGCATACCGTACCCCGTCCGCGAGAAAGGAAGAGTGTAGCATGGGGCTGGGTGGAGTGCTGATGGATGGAAGCGTGATGATAACGGTGGTATACTCTTCGGTTGGTTAGGGAGTACACCATGGATGTGGATGAAATCCGAAAGGGATAAAATAAATCTGAATTTCTTCCGTGCTTTTCTTAGTTAGTGAGAGCCTATCAATACGTGCCTTTCGACCATCTCTCCCGGCCGATGTACTACATGTACGGTAGTTCATTGTGCTATGAGCTGCCATGCGGGACTTTTTCGGTATTTGTTTGCGTGCACAGCGTAGACAGCGACACCTTGAAATTGGGTAGTTAAACTTCACTTGATGATACCAGCGATGTATAGAAGCGACTATGATTATAAGATATTACGATGAAACACAAGTCGGTATCTTCTGTGACAGTGATAAAGTCTGCGAGTGCGTGGGCTGTCAACTGTGAAGCAATAATATAAAAAAGCAAAGCAACAAACAATAGTTGTAGAAAACCAAAACAATCGCAATCAGAGAAAAGCAACTAAGGCAAACATGGCGACTAACTTATATACTCTAAATAACGCGATAGAACATAAAATCAATACGCTTGAGAATCTACCTAGTGATGAGCCTAAGCATGAACATAAGCCGTGGTGAGAACCACAGCTGATCCTCGAGGTGTATTGATTTTAACCTAAATATACGAACTCTCTTGTTCGTATATTTAGTTCAAAATCTATACATCTTGAGGACAGCTTAAAGAAAAGTGGAAATTTGCGATTGTACTTCCAAAGACTTGTTGTATACTTTTACTAAGTAAGAACAGAAAAGCATCGCTTTTTTGCAGAGCTTGAAAATTTTGGTTTTCTCGATTTCTTGAATGTCTTATGCTGAGTGTATATGCATAAGCGAGCGAGAAATCTGGTAGTTAAGTAGTCTCTTAGGCGAAGATATAAAATTTTACTGTTTTTCGGGCGTCCGTCGGATTCTAACGTGAAATGTATGGAAGCTGTTCCAGGCATTTACACGTTATCTTATAGAGCTCGATTTGCTCTATCGAACGATATCATTCTAACCAGAACCAAACAATGTATGACCTATCGTGATAAAAAGACAAACTTGGAAAAACTTATGGGATTTCGTTATGTGTAATCTGTAATATGTGCATTATATTTGTTATAACACTTTGCTCACAGATTGTGTCACTCAGCGAGGGTCTCGTGAGTGTAAATATTTGAAAATTTCTACTGTGTACTTGAGATACCTTGTATTATTGTCCCAATAAACCTCGCAATGAGAACACGCTGACTGATAGTGTAGAAAAGAATTTTCGCACCACCATGGCATCACCACGACAATTTCCCAAACAAATTTTATTGTGCATAAAGAGTAAATTTTCAATTATCTTTATGTCTTGTTATCTCAGTTGAAGTAAGCGCCAAATTCTCTCTTACAGGGATTTGAAGAGGAATGGTAACATATATAGCAGTAAGCGAAGTTCCTTATCTCTGCAAAGCATTATGCTAAACGAAACGACTACTTACTCAGTATTGTACGTATAAAATTCTGCCAAAATATTGTAACAATGTGATTAAGAAATTTTGGGTGGGAATTCCAGCTAATCCGCGTGTACAAAGCGAGCCGATAGCAAAGCATAGAAGTTGAATTCTTGAACATGTACGTGATTTCTATGTATAAAGCAAAGTAGCACATATTTATTCTCTAACTAATTAGCTGTGATATGAGCGAAAGGACATAGAATTCTGCGCAATATACTATAAATCAGATGCATCACATTGGTAGACTCGACATAGTGTTTTACTTGTCATGAAAGATACCTTTGAGCAATGCTTGGGAGGTAACTATATCGGAGCATCAAGCAAAGAAGTTGTACGTACACATCGAAAATCTACATGCACTGTGGGTACTGGCTACGATATAATTTCACAAATGAATACCCAACAAACAAACAAATTAAGGCGAACATTACTTTAGAAGCTACGACTTGTTCTACAACACAAAAACTTTACAGAGTGGTACTTAAACTATTCGATAGCCTATTTTTACAAGGAGGACACGCTGAAGTCAAAAAAAAAATTCTGATGATTCTCAGCAAGCACATCTTAAGCACCATATATCGTGACCTACCAATGATCTATGAATCCCTCACAAACTTGCGAACATTCTCATAAGTGACAAAAGTTACGACAGCAGCAGGCACTTGTCGAATGTTGGCCATGAGACATCCCTTGTACAGGCCATAGAAACCCTCTAATTTCAGCGTGTCTATGATCGTTCGGCACACTCCACCCGATGGAAGATTGTGATCCTGGACAATAAAAGACTCATGAATGCTTCATTGACGCTACTGGCATAGTTATGACAAATCTAGAATTACTAATGATCAATGAAGGGCAGAAGATGATTCAAGGATCTTATGGAAAGAAGAAAATTGGCTAGATACTCTTCACACATAACCGGTTTCGAGGCTAAGAACTAGACCAGACATAAGCAGTGTATATTAGTGAGGATAAAACAAGATTCGGTCTTCCGGTCTTCAATACCCTCTGCGGGCATGCACTCGCACTCTACTTCATAGTCGAATAAGCTACCGAATGCGCATTCATAGTTAAATATTGAAACAATAAGATTCTTTGTGTGCTGAAAAAGGACCAGCGACATCCCTCGGTTCATGCACTAATGGACTAGATGGAGGGATGAGTAAGGATACCTCAAATCTATACTTAAGATGGAAGGACGACGTATCAAGTGAATTTCAGAACGTTCGAATTGTCCTTGATCTCCTACCAACGAGTTTGGTATCACCATCTAGTTGTCATATTCTTTTCTTGGGATTAGGCGTTTATGTACAAGTGCTTTAAATGCTTATATCTCCGACGAAGGTACTCATCAATATAATGAGGCACTATGTCAGAATACCAAAAAGAAGTCTACATCTCTAAGACCATAGTTAACCATATCTGTCTTATTACACAGGCTCATAACAACGTCCTCTGTTTCATTCATATGCAGATAAAAGAATGGTTTCATTGATTGGTATTAGTTTTATCTGCGGTGAAAGGGTTGTGAAAAATATCTTGGAGGTTATACTCAATGGCACTGCAATCTAGGTGATGCAGAATATCATTTATGTATCCATGATATTGAAGTATGCATTATTCACAAAATATGTCCTATTCACGTACTGCACAACGACTTCCTAGTGACAACGTGCTTTTTTAGCCATCTCTCAAAAGTGATTCAATGAACTGGACTTTATTTGCGAGAAGGCAATTGAGCTTTGCCTACATCGGTATAACCATAAAGTTTTAAGGTTATAAGACAAAGCATTAGGGAGTAGCTATTCTTTTCAACCCCGTCAGATCAAAAAATTTGTTGCCTCAGCCACTGCCTACGAACCAACTGCCCATTTTTAGAGCTGTCTGCTCACTTTTTCTAAACCTTTCATACCAGCGCCCAAGCGTCTAATCCAAAGTTTCTAGCTTTACCTTTTTAACCCTTTAAATGATGCACCGACCACTCGGATTCTTGACTTCCATGTTTTGATCATTTCGGGCCTTCTCATATCCCTGCTTCCGAATATGAGTTGAGAATTCGCGAAAACTCCGACAATTCCCAAAGAAGAACCTGCAAGCCAGCTTTCCAAAACGGTGATAGTGGGTGCGCACAGATGGGCGGGTATTACTGGAGGGGCGGTGCTGACTTGAGGTCCCCATGCATCTTCGCTATTCCGAAGCAATTTTCTCGCTTCCGAGCGACATTTTGCACCGCCACTTGCATTGCATTGATAGAGGGTCCTACTATCTTGAGCTGCCAAAAGCTCAAGACTCCATACCATTTTGAGACTCTTCATGCTTGGTTTTTGGAATATGGGAGTCAAAATTCATTACGACGACCAAAGTGACACAGAAAAAAGTGCGGCAGATGTTCACTTGTCGAGAGCGTACTGAGTTAAACTGCACTTTGAATGAGAGGCATGACTAGAAGAAAAGCCGTTTGACAGGGGACAGCCGTTTTGCTTCCAGTGTAGCACAGCTGAACTGAAAATCAAAACGATAGCAGCTCTCGTCATTCATGCGGTACTCACTTGCCAGCGCCATATATCTCATTTTCACTCAAATATCTATGGCAGCGAAGTAAGAGGAAACACCCGTGCAAGCTGGTCTAGCCATTTCGTTCCGGCGTCCCTTTCTTGTCGCTTGCAATAATGAGCAATTGCTCCCACACCACAATTTGATCTGCATGCATATGTGTATATTGTGGTATCTTATACAGGGTGTCCCAAAAGTACAGGGTTGGGGGAAAGTCTTTGAACACGGTATTTCTAACGTAATGATGAAGCTAGGCAAGATGATTACATGAAATAAATATGTAATGTTTACTCAAATGTCTGGTACACAAAACTGGCTTTACAATTCGAAGATTTCTCCTTTGACGCGAACACAAGCTCGGAAACGCTTGGGAACGCTGTCCATGGTGGCACGGAGGTGCTTCACGTCGATTTCTTCCCACGTCTTCTGAAGAGTACTTCGCAGAAACTCCACAGTCATGCGTGGGTGAGCGCAGGCTTTGGCCTAAAGAACTGACCACACGTTGTAGTCGAGGGTGTTCAGATCCGGCCAATACGGAGGCCATTCCGCAAGAGTAATGAACTCCTTGATGTTGGTTTGGAGCCATGCTTGAAGAAACTTCGCTTTGTACGCAGGTGCGCTATCCTGCTGGAGACACCAATCCCTCCTGGCAAAATGGATTTGGTCCAGGCCAACAATCCCTTCTTCAGGCTGCCTCCTCGAGCGTAGCGGTGTTCATTTCGATGTGCTGGGACACAAAAATCGCCTGCATCTTGCTGTCGGAAGCGATCTCCGCGCAAACCATTACAGAAGCCGGATGCAGCCTTTCTTCTGCGAGTCAACCCTTGCTATTGACTTCTGGGGGTGATTAAGTGATGATTCTTTTGTTTGGTGATCAAAAACTTTTCTCACGGTGGAAATTTTGACGTCAGAAAAGAGTATCGTTCGGTGGCGTGCCTTGGAAAGACGTTTAAGCAGTCGATGGCATCTGCACAGCCAGTCCAGCTTCGTGTCCTCCCAAAAAGCAAGAAATTTTAGCATCCTGAAAAGCTTCATCGCAGGGCCCTTTTTTAGGATGCCGGAGATTGTCCTGCCAGAGATGGAAGCCCTGAAGCCAGCTCAATCAAGCTTCGCCGAGGATTGCGATGAAGGCGTTGGCTAACGATTTTCAGAATTTTGCTACCGTCCGCAGTAGCCAATTTACCACTCATATAATAGTCCTGGGTGCTGTTCATATCCTGGAAACGACGCAAGTTGGAAAAGACCCTGATCTGTTAAATTTGGAGAGCCGGCGCAATTTGCTGGTCAGCCATCCTCTCCTCACGCATCTTTTCCACCAACGCTCGCTCCATTCCAGAAGGCATATCTCCAGTAGGAAAAAAGCTAATAGTCCAGTTTTTTGTGGGCTTGTACTCAAGAGAATAAGAAGCAGACACATATAATTAGCATACAAAAATTTGTAAAATGGCCGAACATAAATGGACATCAAAAATTGTTCAAAGACTTTCCCCCAACCCTGTATGTATCGAACGTTTGATCGTTAATAACTCTCTTCCCAAGAAGTCTTTTGCCTTGCTTCAGGTACCGTTTTGTAGAGCTGGCTTCAACTTAGATTTGCAGTATAGAACGAATCACTCATTTCTCTTCATTACTGTAGGATTACGGTAGAAACTTCAAGGAGGGTTTTAAGCAATGAAAGGCCATATTTTGCCCCAGAAAGGAAACAAAACAGCCTCAAAACTTTTACACTAGGCTAATTAGAGTTGCTGATTATAACTGTAAAGTTCCCAACTTATTATGATGCTTCATTGAAGAGTTATGCCAGGTAAGAAGTAGCGGCCATTTTTTCAATGTTCCTAAAAAGTGGGATTGCACCGTTTAGAAAGCTTCGTAATCTTGTGAATAGTTAATTATTGAACTCAGCGTCCATAAAAACCCTATTACACAAGTTTTCACGATTTTTTGAAAAATTTTGAAACGGCAGCTTTTTTCACATTATCACCATATGTTTCAAGTTTCTACCGTAATCCTACAGTAATGAAGAGAGATGGGTGATTCGTTCTTTAATGCAAATCTAAGTTGAAGCCAGCTCTACAAAATGGTACTTGAAGCAAGGCAAAAGACTTCTTGGGAAGAGAGATATTAACGATCAAACGTTCGATACATACTTTTGGGACACCCTGTATATGAAGCTGAATGTCTGTTTGTATGTATGTCTGTATGTTCCGAATAGAAATTTTTATTTCTGAACCGATCCGGACCAAATTTGGCACACATACACTTCGGGGCGGGCGGGTGTCGTAGGCTACCCTTCGTTATCGATCGATATCGATTTTGTCCATTTTATCGATTTTTTTGAAGTTTCACCAGGGCTGGGAGTTGGCATGAGGGTGGGGGGGGGGGGGGAGGTGGGGTAACCGAGCATGCTGATTACGACTACAATGTTGGTTTTCAAAATTATCCATCTCTTTGATTTTATCGATTTTCCTAGTATTTGGCACAGGGGGGGGGGGGGTAATGAGCATGCTGATTACTAAGACAGCGAGAATTAGGAGACTGGCATGTAGAAGGGGCACAGGGAAAGTTGTAAAGGAATAGGACTGGAACCTTTATCATAGCGTTTTGACAGGGTCGGGCGGAGCCAGGTAAGCCAGCTAGTATTTCTATATTTGTGATCTACCTGTATCAGTGGCGGACCAAAAAAGAGGGGGGGAGGGGTTTTTTAAAGAAGCTACTTGAGTTATAAAAATGCGCAAGCGGCTTGTTCCCACTTGCAAACTGAGGCAATCACTAAAAATTGAAGAAAATCAAATAGCTTTGGTGAAAATTTTTTTCAAAAGCGGGGATGCTGCCACGACTTTTTTTGCTTCGAGATTATGAGTCCGCAAAAATTTCATAAAGCCTCTCAAGAGGTTTCCCGGAACGCGTGGCTTACGCCACACGGGGGAAAAAATTTCTATCGCCACCCCCACAAACAATTTCTCGGCCTTGCACATACCCCTCTGAGAGCAGAGTTCATTCTTGGCCAATTTTTGAGACATTCTTTGAAAAAACATTTTTTCTGTGGGACACTGTGCTTGGCATTTGTTCGTTTCACGTTGTAGTGTTTTTGATTGAATTGAACACGGTCGTTCTGGCGCATACTGAAGGCACCGTCCATCCAGATTCGCGACTTTCAGGTTTTTGTCGTTTGACCCTCTCGTGTGCCTGATTCCGAATATGAAGTCGAGCATCCGCGAAAACTCCGACACGATCCCCGTTTCGGAGAACCCACGGGCCGGCTATCAGGAACGGTGACTGGTTAGGCGCATGGATGGGCGGGCATGGATGGGGAGAGCGGTGCCCTCTGGGGTTTCTTGTGCATCTTCGTTTTCCGGAGCGATTTTCTCGCTTCCGAAGCGAACTTTTGCGCAGCAACTAGGGCACTGGCTTGGTAGGGGGCCCTACTCATATGCTGCCAATAGCTCAAGACCCTCAACTTAGGGTGGACTTTGCCTTTCAGCGCATACAAAAGATATATTAAATATCAATTTCAAACTCTAAAATAGCTTTAACACACTGACGACAAGGCCGATTTTTCGATTACTGCCATTTCGGACAGGAGCCTTTTTCGCTTCGTCAAAATTACGACCCACCGTGGGTCGTATTGTCCGAGATGGTAGTCGTTTGGGAAAAGTTTAAAACATGTCCTCGAATTCTTCCAGAGGGGTAATCGAAGGCGCTGATTATTAAATAACGATTTATTTCAGTTTTTGGCGTCATACGGTAAGGTTACGGTAGTCGTCCTGTACGAAACCAACACCATAGATTTCATGAAAAATTGTGTTTTAGAGTTGGAGTCACGCGCTGATTAGGTTTATAGTGTCCACTTTGTTCACTACTGTCCCACAGTAGTGAACAAAGTGGGGCTACGGTAGCAGTACGGTAGAATTTTCGCAGAAATCAAGAAACTGATGTAAGAACTTGGTATCAAAACTTGAGACTATCATTTTCGTAATCAGCATGCTACAAAACCTATATATGCAAAGTTCGAGCTTCCTAAAATGAAAAATGCAAAAAATCAGTAAAATCAATAAAATCGATAATTTTTTGTAGGCTAACGTCAGCCTCTTGCCCGCCTCGTATTACTCTTACATGTAAACTTGATTCTCCAGAAACAGCATCATTTTGCGAAGAATTTGAGCCAAAAGTCTGTGCCTTATATCTATCTACCGTATACCTACCGTAACATTGTATTACAGTATCCCGAGCCCGGACCAGTCTGGCTGGAGCTTCATCTAGGTGCCCCCAATCATGTGCCAAAACCCCGTAGAATTCCATCGTGAACTGGCAAAGATAGCGCTTCATGAATCTTACGACCCACCGGTGGGTCGTATTGTCCGAAATGGCAGCACACGCACGACCCACCGGTGGGTGTATTGTCGTCAGTGTGTTAACACGTTGACGACGAGCCATTTTTTTGCGGTCTGTCCCTGTGGACGAGACGTTTCCATGCATCCCTACGCGTGGCCCATGTATGTATGCATGCATCCATGCACGAAGTACAAAATGTGCAAGCCCCGCCCCCTCTGGCAAGCTCCACCCACTCGACCAAAAATGTCGGAAATTGCCCAAATTTCAAGAATTTATGCGATTTCCGCTACTTTTGAAAAGTGGGCGGAGCTTGCCACTCAGGGGGCGGAGCTTGCCTGACGGTGGGCGGGGCCTGGCTAGAAGTTGCTTGAAGTCTTTGCGTTCATCTACAGCCTCATCCATGCTTTTTGTGTACAAAAAGGACCCTTGTGAGCGGCATAAAAGTGGGCGGCGTTTGCCAAAAGGGGCGGGGCTAATACATGAAGTACATCTGAGCCTATGTTGATTATATGAACAAAAACTGAGAGGATTGGACAGACATTATTGAATTCAAGGCCGCCGCGCACCATTGCGCGGCGTCGTCCACAGGGACAGACTGCCTGCCGCGCACCATTGCGCGGCACTGTCGTCAACGTGTTAAAAACTGATGTTGAGAAACTAGACATAGGCTGCAAATGACTAACGCAATATGCTTGGGTGCGAACGCAGTTTCATTAACCGCAGAGCGCAAAAGGCGCGGAGTTTCCAACGGTGAAGATACGCGCGCGCAGTATTCGCGCCCGCTCAACTAATACTTCTTCTGCGCCTTCGTCATGCAGCAGCCTTTAGATTTTTAGCAGAGATCTCATTCAGATTACTGTACAAAGGAGTCGAGAATCCCAGGTAAAAGAATGGCGAGTAAGAGCTGATCTTTACCTGCATTCGCGTTCGAACCAGCTGATAAGGGAAGGTTAATGTCGTCGCGATACATTTTGATAGAGCCGAAAAAATCAGATAATCTCCCGAACTCTGTCAGACATAACATTAATCGTTTGGATTCGTATACTCAAATCTGTAGACTCACTAGCTGCGAATCCACGGGAAGACCTCGCCTTTGGCAACGCCAAGCTTTCAAACGAGTGTAGATTGTCAGATAGAGAGACTGCTGAGTGGTACCAATCAGGCCAGGGATGAGACCCTAAATCATTCTACGGTCAATGAGATTCGTAGCAGTTCACCATGAGGGGTAATACAACCGAATAATGACACCCACTCTGTAAAGTCCTCTGATTCCCTCTCCCTTGTAGAGCTTGACAAGACAATCTACCATGCCAGAGTATTTTCGTGCGGCGGCAGTCTCGTACTGCAAGCAGAGCCTTTAAAACAGAGGCAGTGATCTGAGAAATACGTAATTATTGATGATCATCAAGATATACCTCGTCTTTACTACCCATATAGGATTGGTAATACACATAACGCAGCTGCCTGTAAGAACAGCGCAGAAGAAGTTGTCAAGGTTCTCGTTAGGAGAATGAAACGGAAGGACCTCTCGCATCTTATGGAACCTTAAAGCTAAGGTCAGAATGACGCCAGAAGAATGAAGTAATGCAGACCATTGCAGATATAAGGCCCATGCCATGGCACGAGCTGTCATGTTTGCTGAGACACCCTGATAAAGTCCTCGAACCCCCTGAGCGCAATAGATACGTTTGGTTGCATCCACATAGCTGTTGTAGGTCGGTTGAATCTTAATTCCTTGTCCTCGGTCAGCTGAATCAAAGTTGCTTTACCATCGACTAATCTGATCTAAAAGACGTAACTGGGCAATCAAGAGTGATTCCCCCTAATCACGATTAATGCCCTCGCTTCAAAGTTTTCTGGGCATAACTGTCGCCATGACCTCTTCTTTCAATGTTAGGGTAATGGCCCCGGTAAAAGTTACAAAGCACCCCGAAAATTTTTTGGAGGGCATGCGGAAAAATTTTAAAACCGCCAGCATACGCAGATGATAGCTAACCTATTCATTCATCAACCGCGAAGACTGGCAGTCACTGCAAGGCAAGGGAAGCGTGGTGAAACACTTGTCCCAGTACAAAGCGTCAGTGTAAATACAAGTCTTGCTCTCACGACGTTCTAGCCGCGCTTTCTGCAGCCGCAAACGCGGCCAGTCCGTGCGGTTGATGATTCGCTACCAAAGCATACGGTATTTATCCCAATGCGGTGTTTTTTTTTTCATCATATTCTCGAGCGATTTCAACCTACTATTTCTGAAGGTACCAGCTTTTGGGTGAACGAACTTTGAACGCCAGCTAGCAGTGGCGACGGTACTCGAATGGTTCATGGGCCACGCTTCATTAGTGCGCGGATCATCACAGCGACACAGTTGATCTACCTGGCCCATTTGATCTGCTTGATGCGCTTCGTGTGAAGCGCAAACTCACTAATATATCATTGGGCGCCGCTTACACCAAAACTGAATTGATACGCCGGTTCAGTTTCGGCGTGCGTGGCCCCCGATGATAAATTAGTGACCGCGCGTATTACATAAAGAGGATCAAGCGGATTAACGGTTCAAGAGGATCAACTGTGGTGTGTGCCATACAACGAGTAGTCCACAGGCCTCTCTACAGCCGCGCGTAGCAGCCTTCGCCAATGTTCAAGGTAGAGTCGTCTGCACGAAATCGCCCATATCGTTGTAGGTTGAACGCAGCGTGCTTGCAACGCACCTACCGAGTGCGGTCGCTATGATCACTCGTGCGCGCAAATGCCAATGTTAGCTCGCAAGAGGCGCTCGTGGCGCTCAGCCTGGGCGACCATGCAGTCAACTATACAGCGCTAACGTCAGCTGGCAGTATAGGCCGTCGAAATGACAGCGTTATAGCTCTAGCAGTTCGGTTTGGGTTCCTGCCTTGCTCGGCCATGTGCCGCACTCAAGCGTACCGTCTATGTCATTTAGGGATCGTTCATACCGCGCACAAAGGCGTACGAAGGTGGACGAAGCCGCACAAAGGCGGACGAAGGCGCACGAAGGCATGTGTGAGTGTGTGTGTCGAGAGAAACGAGACGAGGCGTGTGTGAGTGTGTGTATGTGTGTGTCGAGAGAAACGAGACGAGACGAGACGCGCCTTCGTGCGCCTTCGTCCGCCTTTGTGCGGCTTCGTCCGCCTTTGTGTGGCTTCGTCCGCCTTCGCCCGCCTTTGTGCGCCTTCGTCCGCCTTTGTGCGCGATATGAACGATCCCTTAATATGATGGGCTCGTGCGACTCGGACCAAGCGCGACCGCCTTGCGTGGGCTCTGCACCTCGTTCGCAAGCATGCTCTTTGACTTCTTACATGAGCGTAGGGAAAACCGAGCTTCAAAAGCGTGAGAAAATGACTGAAAAGCGCTCGCGAAAGAGGTGCAAAGTCCAAGCGTAACATGGGGCCCGAGCCGCACGTCCCCATCACTCCTAATGATACAGAGGTTTTCTTCTGGGCACCTCCCCACGCCTAGACAGTAATTTTTGACTGAGAAAATGTTCAGAAAATACGTTTGCAAATGCGCCGCAGGGCCTAGCGAAGAGGTTTCAAGCCGCTAGATTTCAACGCTGGCCTTGAGACCCACAGACTAGCATATTTGCACATCTTCAGCTTCACCCTCTCAACCGATTCCATCTGATAGAGGACAGCCACCGATCATCTATCGCCATTCTGCAAAGTACTGTATCATACCTGAGTACCGAATCCTGAGAAGATCCAAAGGATGACAAGCTGAAGTGCTGACGATACCACCAACAAAACCACCAATAAGATGATCATGCTGACGTAACCATGTTCGAATACGCAGAACGTCAGCATGCATAGAGGCACTTAGCGCACTGTGTAAGTTAAAGTAAACAAAGTGATGCGACACAGATCCGCTTCCGAAGCTGTGCCTAAGTGGAGTCAGATCAGTAAACTGACGAAATATATGAGCTTGTCACACTACGTGCGCGTCGTACTCTTGCTATTCTTGCTAGACCACTTGAGTGCGAAATTCGGTAGCAAATACGTCTGAGATTTTGACTGTTTAATAAAACATGTGAGAAGAGAAATTATCAAGCTTTATTGAGCAAGATGAAATTACGTCTTCATAACTATCTACATCGATAACGGAGGTCACAGCACAATGAGTTGTTAGTGGGCGGTAAAAGGGTAGAAACCAGGATTTTACAGATGGTTATATGGATGGCAGGTATAAATCACGGTCACGAAATGAAAGACGTTCACCTTACTGCTCAGCAATGCGGGCTACGAACACGCCTTCTTTTACACGATGATGGAGTATCGAAAACACAGCATACTATTCTATTGCTAGATGGCCTGACGAATCTTCTGATATCGACTTCCCTGATTTTTCTGCGATAAAAAACTAGAAATCTCTAAGGATCTATGCTAGAAATATAGTCTAAGAGCTGGATGGAAACGAACTGTGAGTTATCACGAAAATGCCTATAAGCCATAATTAAAATCAATCAAATATACTGAACTAGTAGAGGAATCCACAAGTCATAAAGAAGTTTTCTCTATATCGCCCTTTTTCGAACCGTCCACTCAAAATCTCGAATTCAATGTTTTTGTCGCCTTCAGGGGGAATGGAGGTTGGCGAGATTATGATGGCATACTAGTGTGGGGCCCACACTAGTATGCCATCATAATCTCGCCAACCTCCATTTTGGGTGGACGGTGCCTTTAAATGCGTAGAGGACATTATCCCGACAAACTGCACCTGCGCGGCCCTCTAGTACACATTATGTTGTTAAGCATTATAGTCTGTCCTTAGTCGACTTCCGCGGAGCCTAGATTGCCCTATCATGCAAGATGATGCAGGTGCACGCATTTCCATCCAGCTACCCGACTATACATTTCAGAGGAAAAAGAACAGTCTAGCGAAAAACTACGCCTAATAACAACAAAAAAAAAGATGACTAGAGATCGAACACACTGATATATCTTCTAACGTTTTCATAGGTAACAAAGGTTACCACTGCAGCAGGTAGCTGCCGTATGTTTGCCATTATGCACCCTTTGTAGAGGCCACGGATACCTTCGCGCCTCAAGGTGTCTACAGTTGTTCGCCAAACCCCACGACTTTGCACGTTATGATCCTGAACAGAAATTTCATTTTTATTTACTGCAGGGCTATACAAATTACCTGCATCCGTGTCCTCAAAACTTGGTAAGGAAAGGTAACTGTAGTCGCTATACATTTTGAAAGAGCGGAGAACGCGAGGTAGTCAATGGAATCCTGTATAGTAAGTTCTGCACTCAATTATAAAACATGAAATTACCAACCAAATGAGCATTTTCCTTCAGTCCAAGTCGCTCACATCTCCACACCTTCATACGGTTGTAAATCATGAACTGCAATGCTCCGTGGGCGGTTCCAATCAGTCCTGGGACAAATCCCTTAAATAAGACACTTCAAAACGTCCTTAATTTCAACTTAGGCCAATCAAACTTGTAGTAAAGCAGTGAAAACATTTGCAACGCAATTACCATATAAAATATCAAGGATTTAACCCTTCACGAGTACACATGAGCGCGACAATTCTGAGCTTTTCAATAAAAAAAAACTTCTGAGAAGTTGAATAGTGGTTAAGTTTTTCAAGAAGTTAAATAGTAGTTATTTTCGCACTCAGGAGCATCTTTTCTGGTATGTTTTTTGAAAGCCTTACGCTGTATAAGCCTCTGACGCCTTCCTCCCTCGATATTTTATAAAGACAATCCAACATGCCGGAGTATTTCTTCACTTTTGTTTCGTATTGCAAGCATAGCCTAGAACTTTGCTAATGGGTTGAGGCAGAAGAAATCAAGTAGCGAGCAAGCCTTGTCTTGGTAACCCATACGGGATTTGTGATAGCCATCACGGCAGCGCCAGACAAACAGCCACATAAGAAATTGTCGATATTCACGTTAGGAGATCGAAACGGTAACCACTCCTGGATCTTGTGATACCTGCAAACATTTAAATGCCATCATTTCCAAAATAAGCGGTTTCAACTACATTGTCAAGTTATATTTATGTGAGACCAAATAAGACTTGTTCGACTGTCCATGCCGTTGCATTGGAAGCGGCATAAAAAATAAGCGGTTCGACTTCCATTACTATTTTTGTTTCAGATTTTCTTTTGATTTCGCCGTGTACAGACTTACTGCGCGGCATAACAGCTCAATAGGCCCCGGCCAGACTTCGCTCAAAAGCGCACAAATATCTCTGATGTCTCTTCACTTTCTCGTGTGAAAAGAGACAGAGAAAGTGAAGAGAGGTTAGGGAAATTTGGGCGCTTTTGGGCGCTTTTAGCGAAGTCTGGCCAGGGCCTACAGTTGGACTCACGAACTACCTAACTTCGACAAAAAAAAAACTCAAAATGTACTTTTCTAATAGTGAAGAAACAAACCATTGTAAGTACAGGCCCCACGCTAGTGCCGCACCGACCATGTTGGGCGTAAGACCTTGATACAACCCACGAACACCTTCTGCACGGACTATGCACCTCGTGGCATCGAAGTAGCTTTTGTATCGAGGTCGGATACTGCTACCCTCATCAGCTAAAAATCATTCTATACAGGACATTATTACTCTCGACTTCAACACAGTAACTGTCTGAGATGACCACGAGTAATTTATCCATTTCCAACTATCAATCTAGTGGATTTGTCGGTAAAGTGCACTTACGGTGCCGACAACATTTGCGCGTGAAGAAATTGCCAGGAGCGAAACTTAGATGTGCTTTGCGGCCAATCTGCTTCGAAAAATGCCGGCACTAACTACTTAGCAACTTGCTCATGCGTGAATGTTGTTTGAAAATGTCGGCAACAAAAAACACTAGATTTACCGCCAGTTCTATTTATCCGTATTTGAACTAATCAAAAAAGGTACCTGAGTATCTGATTTTAAGTAGGTCCATAGGATGACATACTGCAGTACTCGCAATCCCACCAGCAAATCCGCCGACCAGATGCTCATACCTGCGCAACCATGACGCTTGGACGGGAAGCGTGACCTCGGCGGTCATGCTGAGATCTGAAAATTTTTGCGTGAGTTATGCTGATATGGAGCAAAACGGAGTGGCATGAATAGTGTTTGCGCGATTCTAGGTTTTTAACAGCGCCTTTAGATGTTGGCGTTTTTTCCATCCCACACAACCTGTCACGAGGCGAATACCTCCCTCCTTTTTCTATGATAGTATCGAAGGCTTGTGTTTCGCACGTCTGCCTCACTCAACTTTGCGCCGCGCTCGCGAGCTATTCTCTGTGCATTTCTCGAAAAATGAGTCCTGCCCGCCGCTTTTAGTAGCTGTCAGAAGATGATACACTTGGTAGACGCGGTAAAGGTCCAAGCAGGGCGACCGTGCAGGGTTCGAGCCGCACAAGGCCTGCTCAGACCTCGTTCTTCGAAAGAGCGATACTGGAGTAGTTACTCTTCGCCAGTGCAACTTCTTCCAATCTCCATATCCCATGAGTATCTGAGCGCAACCGGTGCAGATCAAAGTACGCATTACCAGTTTCTTTTGTTTTCGCAGGGGCACGGCGTACACCGCCTATGCTGGACACGCTCCAAACTCTTGCACCGGCGCAGTGACATGGGCGTTGCCTCCTTTGTTTGCGATAGCAGCTCGCATTGAAAGTCCTCTTTCAGCATCTTATGGCATGAACTCCATTTCCGCTATATAATAACACGGGTGCGAATGTCGCCTATTGCGCCCCACCCCTTGTTGCGATATCCTTCACATTGAAATCGCACATCAAGGCACGCACTACACTTGATCCGTTTGAATCCATTCATCCGCTTTGTTCTACTCCGCCATCGGAAATCAGCGAACTGATCGGTAGCAAACGGATGTCCACCCCATTTCGCTATTGGCCTCACTTTGACCGACAGCGAAATTTAACCGGACTGGTGTGGGCGTGCCCACATAGCGCGACATCACACATACGGAAAGGGGCCCATTTGCTTTTTTACGTCCAAATCTTAAACCTCGGTAAGGCAACTTCAGCGAAAATAAATTCAGATGATCCTCTGCGGTTGTCAGAATTTCACTCACGCACGTTTACGAATCAGTAGGCTCACCGTCCCACTTGGAGAAGTAGCCCTTACCAGTATCCGGCAACTACTCATGATTTGCCTCGGCACTCTTTCCATGCGACAAATCTTCTCCCTCTTTTATTTACTTTAAAAAGCTGCCACAAAGCGCTGCTCGCTCGCGATGTCGTCCTTTAGATCCAAAAGCACCATTTGGTCGTGCGATTCGGTCTACACCCCATCATTACTTTTCAATCATTCTCTAAGAAAGACAATTATGCGAATTGCTATTTAGACAGTGTAGCAAGCAAAAATTAGAAACGCTTTGAGAAATTTTTGGAGAATAGAAGTTGTTTTGCATTTGAATTAAGTCGTCTAGACATTTTACTGATTAAAAGTATGACAGTAGACTGAGACATTCGTTTAGTTGAGTTACTTCCATAAACATTTATTTCTTTCAAAAATAAACATCAAATATACAACACTACTATACTGAAACGGAAAAAGTAACAACGCAAAATAAATGGCGATCACATGATAACGAACAGATGCAGAGTGCAGATAAGGTCTCAACAAAACACCATTCGTAACTTAGTACTTTCGACAAGACAACGGCGGTCAAGGAGGCGGTGTAACGCCAACGCCTATGGGCTGTATAGAGCGATATATAGCAATGTTTTTTAACGGAATTATAATATTTTGCCTGATGGACCACGTGGCCCCGCATGTCCTAGACCATATTTGATTTGATGAGCCATACAAATCACCATCAGATGATATCATTTGTAGAGATGGGCACAATCCCACAACCCAAGATGCCGTTCCCCGCCCATCGCTTTGGGAAAATTTCCAACCGAGCCGCGCGATGATTTCGTAAGACCGTTACGCGTAATTTCCTCTGTAATTGATGAAAATTATCTCATACAATAAGTACTGTCATCATACCCCCTCGTGTTCGGCCGTTGTCGTGGACACTTCCTTCATTTCTTTGAAATTACCTGCATGCAGGCTGCCGTACTGAATAATCAAGTCATCAGCTCGAAGACCGCCTTCAGCTGCAGGAGAATTGGGTATGACTGTTGTCACCGGAAACGTGCTCATAATCGACAGCAAAATAAAACTAACAATCTTACTTTGATAAATGGCTTATTTGATGTTCGATGAACTATCGGTGATGCGGCCTGCAAGTGTGTACTCACGAAGATGAACTCGAAAGCAGCAAAGGTATTTTGAAACGCAAAAACTCACCTTCTCTGGAACTCTTGTCTCACCTCCACCTTCCCTTGAGTTAGAATCTGATTGCTCGTCAGATTTTTGCGCTTCTTTCGAATCACTTTCTTCTGCTCGCATCTCTGCATGTGAGTCCTGTATGGCCTTCTCAATTTGCTCCGTTAGATTTTTTCGATCATTTCTAGGAAGAATGTACTAATCACATATATCGATATAACATGGTGTACTAAATGTTAAAAGAAAACCTCAAGCAGATGATGTTATGTCTGGCTTGGCGAACACTGTCTACATCAATATGACTGAACGGGAAACCCTCTTTGTCCACGAGAGGTGAATCCATAGTAGAAGCATTCTGCAAGACAATCAAGAATAAGATATTGGTTGTCCGCGCTGTGGAATTATGAGGTTGCGTCGGCTCGCATGTCTCTTTTTAAATCTCGGCCATACTGATTCCTGTGATTTCTTTATCTGTAGACCATGAAAACTTTTGACTTTATAATGCAAGACTCATGACTAAGTAATCATCACCTTTTCTTTCATGCTCTGCTCTCTAAGGATGCTAGTATTCGCGCTTCGACAGTGGAATCGCAAATCAGGGGAATAGTTTGGTCGATCCCTCTGTGTGCACTCTCACCGCTCTATCATCAGCTCTCTACTCAGGTCATTATATTGATAACATTTGTTGAGCGCAACAGCGTCCCCGCTGCCACGTAAAGCGTACAAAAAATTTCATTCATTCTGGGACTAGGAAGGAGAGTCAACGCTACGCGCACTTGTACTGCACAAGCCTGAACTGATCATCGCTTATTGTGAGTATTTTACCATGCCGATCGGATCGAGAGGAAGATTAAGTTCGAGCAGCCCTTAAAACAAAATTTCCGCAAAGCTTTCAAAGTCTCCTGATCTCAGAACGACATACTCTCTGTCTCAGTGACACTGTCGCCGGCTTGTGCGGCTGGAGTCCCACATGGGCACTCATTTGGGACCTGCGTCGCGCCTGCGACATATACTCCGAATGTTCGGTGCCTGAGTGGCCACTATAGATTGCTTGTTTGGGGAAATGCCCCTAGGATATGTCCGCAGACGCAACGCAAGATCCAAGCGAGGCGGCTTCACGGAATCGAAGTCTTTGAGACAGAGAGTGTTCCAAGAAATTCAAATCACATTCCTATTTATGTGATCAAAACAAACATCTGAAACTCACATCTTTTAAAACTTGGAAGTTTTCCTCTATCTCTGCATCGATCTTATCTCTTTGTGCAATCAAGTCTTTCGCTTGCTCCTTTGCTCCCATTCTAAAACCGCAAATTCGGCTACTTTAACTAAAAGTCTTATGGAAAAGCAATATAGAAATGCCAGGAAACCCATAAACTTAGGCCACGCAGGCGCTCAACATGGAAGTCTCTTTCTTGCAACTACTCTATCCCAACTGAACATTGTTTACAGCCTGCCTCAACCCCGGATATGGTCCAAAATTTTATATAATCGCGCATGCGCTGTACTAAAGGCTGTAAACCTGGATAAGAACTACAGCTTCATCATCCAGACCCGATTAACCGAAGGTAGGTGCCAGAGTAAGCGAATATTTTGTTCAAGTTGGGGTCCCGCGCAGAACTGGCATCACTAATCATTGTGGCATAATGCCAACTTGGCGTTGTGCCACAATGATTAGTAAGGCACCCGCCATACTTACCCCTCTTGATCCGCTTGATCCGCTTGATTCGCTTGCTCGCTTCTTGCAGGCGCGTGCAAAATGCGCGCACATAGCAGTCTGTCATGGCGTCATGTACAGCGAATTTGCTCAACCATACGAGATTGCTTTTTACCTACGCGGCGCCAAATGACAGACTGCTGAGCGCGCGCGTTTTACACGCGTCCTGCAAGAAGCGGAGCAAGCGGATCAAGCGGATCAAGCAGATCAAGCGGATTAAGCAGATCAAGAGGGGTAAGTATGGCGGGTGCCTAAGGCCAGTTCTGCGCAGGACCCCAACTTGAACAAAATATTCGCTTACTCTGGCACCTACCGAAGCGATCGAAATAATTATGAAAGGGCAAACGAATGATACAGTAACGCCTACTCCTGCAGCACCTCAGAGTATCGCGTCGCGACCTGTGTCAGAACCCGATTACAGTAAAGAAGGCGACAATTTGAGACAGGCATCAGATTTATCCACTTAGCCGCTTCGTGACCGGTCATATCAGTGAACTAACCAGTCACGAACCGACTAAGCGAATAACCGGATGAGTCCGGCGCCTGCCTAAGTTGCGTTTTCGGCACAAACGGGCGATTGAGATGGGTAGAGGAATGAATACTCTATTAGGCGCCGCCTCTGGTCGTTCACACATGCTGACGCATGTAATCATGTAGTATTTAGGGCCTGCAGTCTTGTGGAGGCGGCGCCCAAGGTAGGTATTCGTTCTACCAGGTTGGGAGGTTGTGATAAGGTATAGGACGAGGCTGGGTGAAGCTTCTCACTCCAGAGTGTACTATCCTTGTTCTGCGTCTACTCCTGTGGCCAACATGTTGACAATATGCAACTACATTTTGACCGCTAGTCAACCGCCAACGTTGTTCTAACATGAGTACATGTTGCCAACATTTTAACCGCTGCCCATATGCAGATCAAGCTTATGAAGAGCTGTTCACAGCAATTCAATTTTTGGCGCTCTAGAAGCGCAAAGAACGCTAAAGGAAAACGATGAAGAAAGTGTGGTCTGTCTATAATAGAACCATCTTGATTATACCGCTCGAACCGCTTAAATATAGTCTTCCTCATTCAGTAGTCATGTGAGAAGATTCTAAATCTAAACTGGAGCAGGGTTGCGGTAGGTCACTAGGTCACAGCGCCACACTTCAGTTCAGGTTCCCACATGTTTTTCTCCGTCGTTGTGTTGTGCTGCTGGTCAAAATTGTTATAACATACAAAATCCAGCGACGGTAATAGAGAAGAAGAAACAAGTGCGAAATTGAACTGACAGCTGAGTATATTGCAATATGTCACTACCGAAATCGGTCATTTTGCAAAAAATTTTTTTATCTAACAAGGTCGCCGAACATTGATACCAGCGAAGTTTTGTTCTCAACTACATGTGTATGGTTGATTCGTTGACCGCACAGACTGGAGATCACTGCGGAGCACGCGCCGCGAGGTAAAACGTTTGCCCCAGTACAAATTCACCATTGTACAAGTCACGCTCTCGCGACAATTAAGCCGCGCCGCGCGGCGCAGCGTTTGAGCAGTCCATATGGCCAACGAATCGACGATGTGTAATATGTAAAGTTTATTTTCTCCGGTACCATTTCATCTACAAGCACAAATGGGGAAGGGTCCGCGTGTAACTCGTTGCGTCAAGAAGCTTTGTTTGCACACTTCTTAAAGAGAAGTCATAATGGAGATTTGCAGTGTTTACTATAGGAAAAAGCTGCCGCTGAAGTTACTCTTACCACAGTAATATGCCTCATGCAAACTGACCAAATATCTCGTGCAGAGGTACGCCTAGGTCAAGTACCTATATCCAAGAGTCAAGATGAATAAGCAACCTTTATGGAAAATGCTTGATTGGGATACATGGGATTGAAACCATGCGTCAACTTATGGATAAGTTTGAAAACGCTTTATTGAAATCAAATCAGAACAAACAATGAAAGCAGACAACAGCATAAAAACCTGGTAATCATTCATCATGAACAAAACACAACACAGAATACAGAGCGGACTGCGATTTTGTTCAGTTCATTGCATCGAAATTGGATCTGTTGAAATCTTTGCATGTCGTGTTTTTCTCATAACGAGTACAGGTAGCGACAGGAATTGGTCTGTGAAAAATTAGCTGCAATGATGGGAAAGGATATTTAAATCGCTCTAGCAATCTGCTCGTTGTGATTGCAAAATTAGCACATGTGTATATGCACCAACTATATAGAAAAATTAGACTATGGTCATCTACTCTACCGCCAACCAAAGTCTAAATCGATACTGCACCGTAACAATGAACAAACAACAAAACAACATCATCAAACAACCGCCAACGCTAGCGGCCTAGGATGAGGGCAAAAGTATGCATCTCTGCTATCCCGTCATCTTTGCTATCCCGTCTAGTATTCTTGATATGATCCTCGGTAACCACCTCGCCCTCCCCGATAACCGTTCCCGAAACCGCTAAAACAGATAAAAAGCGCTTAAAGCGCACTGGAATATGTGTGTGACTGTAAATGTCAGTTGTCTTTATAAATGTAAATGGAAAATGTTCAAGGTATATCAAACTGTATATAACATTATTGGAGTGTAACTAAATAATATGAATATGTAATGTAATTGTAGCATGCAATGAATGAAGCGTGGTTTGTGTGTGTTATTATGTGATGTTTTTGTGTTTTACTGTCACATGTTGTGTTGTCGTGTTTCGTGAGTTCCGACGCTCATGTGAAAGTCGAGAATTCAAGCGAAATCTTTTATCAAAAAATGAAAAAAATATCACAACAAACCAACACCTCAGATTATCAAGAGTGTTTAGTTTCACAAACCGTCTACTTCCGCGCGGACCTCCTCGAAAACCACCTCTAGGAGAGTGATTAGTAGTGCTATCACCAGCGCCCTCTTCCGTTGCATCTCCATGACGACGTGATGGTGTAGCATAGGCCAGTTTAACGATGTACGGCGTCTAGAAAAGTCAAACCACAGTTAGTAGTACATTTGAATCTAGCAGAAAACTCATATCCATAGCTCAAGCGTAGACGATAGGCGCCGCCTTGAAAAGCTTAGATGTTTGTGATAATCAATCAACTTCTTACCTTTCCGAGTGGGCTCACAACAGGAGTATGATTTACAAGAGCCAGCGCTTCATTCGCTTGCTCAATGGTTTCCATTTCTACGGTTCCGGACGAAGATCTCTCACTACGACCCGTGAAAACAGTGACTGACTTGGGCTCTGGCGCATTTTTTTCCGCAAACAGCTGAACAAATGGAGCTACAAAATCAGTAGCACATTACAAGCACCTACTTGTCTGATCTTAGCTTCGTCCATATTCACAGGAGCGTTGTACCAGTGAAGCATGTTTGTTGGAAAAATGAGACGGTTTCGTGCTGCAGCATCAGGAGTCGAGAAACGTTGGAGTGCAGACATTGAATAATCTCGGAATGATGGAGAACCATCCGGCATATCAAAGGGGTCGCTGAAATAAATGACAGGTGATGACAACCCTACCCTTCACGGAGAACTTGCATGATTGCCAGCAACCATAAAGTAACCTACTGAACGTCCCGAACACAAGTCTGTATGCTCGGTTTCAGCTGCAATGTGAGACCAAAGAGAGAAACTCCTTGTAAAAACTTTAATACGTGCGTAACCTGAAAAGAAAGGTGTCAACTACGGATGACAATTATCTAGCTAAGTAACAACAATCTCGTACAGCCATTGGTGTCCCTAACTCAGCCATGGCCGTGTCTTTCTTTGTAGCCATAAATCTGATCTGAACATAACAAATGAAATGAGAAAATGTACAAACAAACGAACTTACCCTCAAAACGTTGCCATACTGACAGAATAAGTTGAACAGCATCTCACAGTTGATTTTCTCTTGTTCAATTCCATAAACCATAAGCACACATCCCTATAACAGCGCTTTACAAAATCTTCAATGATGCTTGTATTATTTACCGATCCTCCCGTGGGTGGAAATTGCTGCATATTCTCATATTCATCAAAAGCTCCACGAGAAGCCAACGGCGGACGTCGGCCACGAGCCGGAAAACTACCTCTGGGAGGCCCGCCATAACTATCATATCCACGACCGCTCTAAAACAGGTGAAAAAAATCTACGGTAACACTAAAAGCACTTACAAATGATCCTCTGAATGCATATGGGTCGTCGTAACCGTTACGATTGCCGTAGTCCGGTCCATTGCCTGGATATGGAGCTGGTCCTGTTAATACTCAGAGATAACCAAGCTATGACAATGTACAGCTTACCTCCACCTGGAAGAAGAGTTTTGCGCTGCCGGTGTTCAAAGCTGTGAGCGCTGCCATCTAAAAATGATTGTTTTCAGCCTAATCGGAAAATAATACTCCTATCTGTTTGCAGTAGTAAATAACTCCAGTAACATCCCCGAGAAAAGTAACTGCAAATCCAGAAAAAAATTTGTGCAAAGACTTTGATAGCATGCCGCAGCGCTCACTATCGATCTATGACGTTATATGGAGGTAAAGATAATCTCCATTTTCGAGTACAACGAGTAAATACCATTCTATACAAGGAAGACATTGTCCTAAACAGTCAATTGCAGCCTTCAACGATAGTTCGCGTCGCTTGAATGCAGATCAGACGGAAGATACAGTGAAATCAAAACCCCCAACATATTCACAAGTCCTTGATAAGTACGTACCGTTAGGCAAAGTGAAATCATATTGGTCGTTGTCTTGCCGAGTCACCTTGACATAGTCTGGCTGAAACATAGAAAGCATGATGCACACAACAATGAGCAAAAAATATGGAGTACACAGTGAGCGGACCCGTACCTTCGCGAACTCGACCTTGAGCGTACAACATCCAGAATAGATATCGGCACCATTGATGGCATGTTTCACTTTTTTGGCGATTTCAGCACTCTCAAACTCTACCAGTGCTTGCATCAGTGACTTTCGAACTATAGCAATTCTAAGGACTTTTCCATGCGGCTCACAAATTTGATGAATGACCTGAAACCAGCAAACATGCATAAAATGCTATCGGCGGAGAGGCTTTACTCACATGGACATCGATTGGATATTGAGCATTGTATACGGTTATAACCAACACCTTGCAGGGATTTTCCGATTCGAAGCCAAGTCGTTGAATATTTTGCGAAGTGGAGTAGTTGAATAATGCTGCATCGCCAGCAACAAAAATGAGGTTTGAAGACGCAAATGTGACGCAGGCTCTGGCAGCTGCAAACAAGATTGAATTCATGTACCTAACACAGCTCCGCTGCTTGTGAGGAATGTATGAAAGGATATCGCACTGATATAACGGAAGGTTTCAAGAATACGCATTTCTGCAGTTAGCTTGACCTCTCGCTTGGTCTCGCCTATTTCAAGTGTCAGATCTTGTGATCAAAATTAATGATAGTAAGATCAACCGAGATTTTGCATCTTGTAGACCCAAAACTAAGTGAAAAAAATCCATCTGAGACTTTAGAATATAGCAATGAGTGGAAGAGATGTGGGTGGAGATCACAGACCTTCGATATCCTCAAATTCAACCAGTGCCATCTTCTGAGCTGGTATGACTGTCACATAAGCGATCAGACCAAATGTCCCAAGAGCTTCTATGAGATCCGCCTCTGTTGCCTGCAATCACAACATTGACTGAAACGGAACGTTGTCTATTACGTTTTCTAAGGTTTTCAAAAGATGGATGAGACTTCAAAGGCAGCGTCCCGGCAGATTTTGCATTTCCATCTTTTTGCATTTTTGGGCCTTCTCGACCCGTAGATCCCGAATCTGAGCTTTAAAAGGGGGTGAAAAGGCCTTTTTCGGGGCGTTTTTTTCAATTTCCAAAAGGCAGCTCGGATTTCGAAGGAAAGTCGGAAGGCCCTGGCACGAAGACCTTGCTGCCTGTAATTTTGGCTTTGTATAGCATGCACAAAGCGGGAAAGCGGTTGGGGGGTCCCGCGCCGTCTAGCGGAGAACACTCGTCCGAACAAGGTGTTAGGGGAGCGAAAGGAGGAAGGGGAGCGGCGCTTGGGCCGCCCCCTGGCTTGAGAGTTCACATTTTCGGCGCGGAGTTGCTGTTTTGGTTCACGGGAGGGCCTACTATCCATCTGTGTCAAAATCTGAGGTAGGTCAATCTGCCGAGCCGCTGCCTCTAATGCGCTAATATTCATTCTGAAAGACGGGTACGATAGTGGTATGAGCACCATTTGGTGGGTATAACTAATGGACGAATCTTTCCCCGGTTAAAAAAAGCTCTCTATCCTCCGGAAAAAATCAACTGATACGAAAGTAATATAAAAGAATTTTGCAGCGATCTGGCTGTCGGGAGATTCCCGCACGTCATTCTAAAGCTTGCTCGCATTCAGAAACCTCTGCGATAGAGTAAAATGTGTGTATCGTGTGCCCGCAGAAGGTAACCTAATCAATCGTGTATTCACTGGTATCGAAACATTTCGTGTATATTTGAATAGTCAAAATCAGATCATCCATGTCCAACAATAGAAATATTCGAAACAGCACGGCTTTGGAACTCTACACTTACTTTTGGGTTCAAGTTCCGAACATGAACTACCAGTGATGGCTCAGGATTGGTAGGATCAGCGAGCTCATCTCGTCTGAATCTTTTCATTGGCGGGACGCTGAAACGACTATAACGAGCTAGAGGAGTCGAAAATACAACCATACTGAACGAAAAAACAAAGAAATGGTAAACTAACTACCTTTGACCACTGCTGTTGGCAGCACCATCCATAATTCTTGAATTCTAGATGCACGTATATTCGAACTAACTAATGGCTCGATGATCGACCTAAACTTGGGATATGGCCGCACAAAATGAACTTCTCTATTGACTATAGCAAAGCTGACAAACACGCGAGAGTATTGGATGAAAAGACGAAGGACATCGAAGGGAGCTATTCCAGAGTGAGAAGAAAATCCTAACGATTTGCGCGGCCAAGTCAACCGTCCGCAGCATGGAACGCTTCGCGTGCGATTCGCGCGTATTTGTATGGTGGGAGCGCAAAGTGTGGGAGGGGGGGGGGGGGAGGACAGAATAAAGAGAGCTAGCTCAAATACTTCGCGAGCAGATCTTTGACCTCCTATTGTGAAACTTTACTGTCGCAACAAAGCTGAATGGGGCTTCAATCAAGCTTGTGGAAAGGCCAGAATCAGGGCATTTTCGCATCCAGCGTTAGAGCCCCCGTGCGCCAACTGACATGACATCTATTCTGAGATTGAGAGACAAGCTTGCACACATTGTCTAAACATGCTTGAACTTGTTCTTCGGTGGTTCCAAATAGAACAATACTGATTGAGGCGGATCACAAGTATAAACTTGATAACAGCATGTTCATAGTTGTCTAAACAATGTCAAGGCGGCTTTGAGTCTTTTAGTCACAGGATGAGTGATGCTTCTCATCTGGAAAAGATGTCTCTTTCTCGCTCTCTCCCCCTGCTTCGGCTATTCTTAAATTTACTGGTACCGCAAGTGCATGGTGGACATAAGAATCGAGAACTGATTTGCTTGATCAGTCTCGTGAAACCTTCAACGTTTGATAATCAACGATGACTGGGGCGGCAGGGGATAAGACTAATTTCATCACCTTTCAGAAAGCTTTATGTGGTATCAGGAGTTTGACAAAATGACAGGCACATATATTTCGCCGCCTCTACCGTACACTAACCGTAATGCCACAGAAAGGCGATAGCGTGTGCCGGTTCTCAACTCTTGGTCTCAGTCAGAGTAAAACATAATCTTCGCGCAATTTCAGCCGCTGAGACTTCGAGACTCTGAGTGACACTGTCTCTGCAATTGCATGGAATGATTGGCTCTAGGTAGATAAAAAATGTTTTGCTAGCTACTGCAAAGATCATAATGCACTGATGAAAGGAAACGCGTTTGAAAATAGTTGAATTTGCGAAATTTCGCGCTCCAAAAATCAAAGGGCTGGTCGACTCTGGAGCAGATGGAACCCCCTAGAGCTGAAAATCTAAAGTGCTCATTAGTAAAGCTCGTTTCATTGTTGTTTTTCTGGCGTAGTTTTTCTTTCGCTTTGGCCAGGTTTTATAGACCGATGAAATGTATATTGCAGGCTTGTCATGACGGGCACATGGGAATTCATTAAGAAGCACAAAGGCAAAATCATTGCTGGCGGAGTTTTGATTAGTGGTGCTGCTGCTTACATGATCCAAAGAAATCAGGAAACACACCGGTTCAAGTTGGCAAATCCCTACCAGAACGACTTCATGATTCAGGTTCCTCTTCATCCATTACATAAAAATGATGTCCAAAAGTTTTACTGAGACGTTATCAATGGCATGAATTGCGAACAGTCTAATATAAGCTGGTTTTCTTACAATGAGTTCAAACTGTTCAGGAGAGGCGGCGGTATATATTTGACACCAATCAAAGAGCTTGTGACCAGTCTATAACGGACATTGTGAAGGAGCTCAAAACTCGTGTTAAGGTAAGTTCTAAATTTTACATAGATGCAGTCTTGTCGAGATGACCCTTAGAAGGCCAATGTGCAAGGGTTGTGACTGAAGCTGATCACAATCGTCCTCGACTGCTCCCATTTCTTCCACAGCATTCCGTATTGGTGATTGTTGCTTTTGGGGGAAACGAACTTTTGCGCGAAAAATCGAACTGGGTCCTTACCTTTTATAGGAAAAGGCGTTCTGTTGATTCAGATGCGCGTCACAGTTTACCGCATCTGTTCTCGCAATCGCAATCGAACGGCAATCTCGACCAGAAGTGCCCTTTTTATTCACAAAAATCGGTTATCCTTGTTACTTCATTGGAAAAAGCAAAGTTTCAGCTCCGTTTCGATGTTGATGCTCTGATTCGGAAACTTAAGGAGAACATGGATCTTTCGGTTGAAGATAAGGTTGAATTATGGGACAAGGTCAAAGTCAGTGTTATTTTCCAAATTTAAAGGCAAATTTATAGTCGATGTTTCAAAGGTTCTTAGCGTCGCTCGCATTCTTGGAATTGCATACGCTTATTCATTGCTGACGGTGACATTAAAAGCACAGATCTCTATCTTAGCAGCAGATCTTTGTGCGCAGCTTGAAAACCCACCTCCACCGTCTGTCTTCCAAACGTATGCTGTGATATTGATCTTTATTGTTAGTTGGATCCAACATCAGAACTTTGCAGGCTCGCAAACATCAAAAATCAAGTCGTAAGTTATCTCGGCCTTGACTCGTCGCTTGATTTGGAGCATACAGAATCTAATGATTCTGGCGTGATTGCAGGAAACCGGAGAATTTTTGTGCAGTGTACGCAGTACCTGGTGACCAGTGGTGAGTGGCGAACACTATAGTTTTACTTTTGTAGCATAAATCGTTGCTGAGAGCAAACTCCGTCTAGTTTTCTGGCGCATTTGTGCAAGTGTGTCATCATTTGCATTTCCTTTTTTTTTCACCCTTAGTTGTCTACTTTTTTCTCGTTGCTGAGCCGTAAACAGTTCTCGCTCAATCTATCAGAATGAAAATCTGTTATGAGCATGAGCAATGGATAATGTGACAAGTACTACCATTGTGATGCAGGGTGTCCACCTCTAAGGGCCTAAGAGGTGGACAGCCTGCATCATAATGGTAGTACTTGCATTTTAGTTCATTTCTTACCACTTTTAACTCTCTGTTGCTCTCAAAAAAACCCAAGTACGCAGCCATTGCCACATCTGTAAATCTTGATTATGTCACTTTGGAGCGTAGAAGTTGTGCCCTAAAATTTGGTGTTTTATTAATTACGTACTGATTTCTGCACAAGATCAGAATATACCGAAGCCTGTTCTTTAGAGATTCTGTTGTGAGGCTGCATAATTATATGGACAAAGAACATGTTTCTGTGAGTCTAAAGTTTGCACACATCTACAGTGGTAGCTATTTTAGGTATCGCAAAATTACTAAATTTTATCGAAGATGTCTGTAATGAAGTTTGTTCGGCTGTGTCGTTGACGGACGTGGTGAACAATGAGAGAATACGGGAAGTACTCGATGCTGCTGATCATATCATCTCTAAGAAGGACTCCACATTTTTTACGGATATGATCGCTCCTCTTTCACAAACAGAGGCAAGCTTCCTATATTCTTATCCTTTCGTATCCTATATTATCGTAGATAATCAATTTCGATTGCAGAGATCTTCTTCTGACGGTGTTTTGCAGCTTCTAACTCGTCTCGTTAGATCCATAGAGACAGAAAAGTGCCGAGGGGCTCTTTCAAGTCTTGTCGATTTCTATTTGACTGCTGCAGTACAGGTTAGCACTTTTGAAAATATCCATTACCATTTTGCAAGCAAACTTACCTATCTCAGAGTTATAGTTCGATAATCACTGTTGTCAACATCAAATTCTGAGAATTACTTTGGTCATCACAGATGTAGTGTAAGGATCTATTTGCTCCTTTTCAGAAGATTCCCAGTGATTCTAAGCCACTAGCAAAGCTTTTGCCGTCATTCTCTGAAGTTTTTGATGTAATCGCATCTGATGCATACGATTCACCACTCCAGAACAGTCTGAACTCTTCGGATATATACCAGTATGCCAATTTCGTTTTCAAATCGCTTTAGAAAATGTGCTTTTTGTTTCGTTGCCATGTTATACAGATACTGTTCTACATCATATAAGAAGTCGGTCATATCTATCCTAGTTCGTATTTTTATACGGCTTTACGTTTACTAATTTCACTTGTTTCACTTGTCATTCTGCCACCTTTGCTCAATTCAAACATTCCTTGCCTTTTTATGTGATTTCTCAGGATAAAATATTACTTAACACACTTTTGTCATGATATCAAGTTTTTCTTCAATATCTGCTTAACGTGTCATGAATTTCACGATTAAAAAGGGTCTAGTGCCATGCCAAATGAGCGCAGGCTATTGAAACTGGCGGCAAGCTTGGCGAATTGTGCTCCAGAGGTACTGTAACCGCTTTTCGAATCATGTACGTTGAGATCATTTTTAGGTTGCTGCGTATGGTGCTTGTGTTGCTAGGCAAGCGGAGAAGATTACAAAGGACGCTTGTGCTGACGAGTTCTCTAAACTAATAGATTGCGCTAAGAAGCTGGTACGAGAGTGTATTTGATAGTTTTCCTGTGTTGGTGAAATTACTCTTGTAATTCTGCTGTAATTTCTGAAAAAGTTAAGTTTTAGAAATCGAAAGCGAAATAAGCGCTCGTTATGAAGGTAAAAAGGGTCAAACGTGCCAATCGCATCTTGACCTTCTTCAAATACAGCTATAAAATTGTACCTCCATTCAGGTACTCATCTATATTTTGCATTCTTCTTGTGAATGACCGTATTGTGTTTCAGAGTTTTAGTAGATGGAACATTTTGTAATGCTGCACTTGCGAACAAAATTAACCTACGTGAGCAGTTGCCGAAATACTTGAACGGGGATGTCGAGGTTGTCACTACTAAATGTGTATTAGCTGAACTCGGTAAGTCACATACTAGAAGATGTCCTTGAAGAATGGTATATTTGTAGAGCTGAATATCTCCACCAATTAACTCTTATTTCGTTTTGAGATTTTTCAAGTCTTGCTTTACAAACTCAGTATCTTTCTTTACCGCCCACATATTTCTTATGTTTCCATCGGCAACATGTATTTCGGAACAGATCTCCAGCTTTTGTATCTTTCGTCTAGGTATAGAGCTAGTTAAATCGGTTTATAATAATGCCGAATCTTTGCAAATGCATGACTACGCAGTGTGTTGCTTTCTTTTTGCGTCTTACATATTGTCGCAACTTTATAGACACATTCGCTCTGAATGTAGATTTAATGCTGAAATATTTATACTATTCACTTTCACTCTCCTTGCCTTTCAAAATGCGAGCCAGCATTTGTAATCCATTTGTTTACTCGTTTGGTCGTTCTCATGTTTAGAAATGTAGTCATCACGTAAAACATAGTAATCTGCTGCCTCAGTCTCTTACCTGTCTCAGTATAGAAGCATTTATCTTCCTAGTTTTTTTTTTGCAGAGAATTTGGGGTCTCCGGTCTATGGAGCCCTCTTGATATGTCGCCAGTTCACAGTAGATATGTGCCCCCATACGCCTCATCGTTCTCCAACAGAATGTCTGGCGCACCTCGCTCGTCGCGCTACCACTGGACATACGAAGTACATAATCGCTACCAATGTGAGCAAAACTGATTTCTTTCATTGTAGATAGAATGAGACAGGCAGAACGGTAAATGACCAGTCACATCCACACACCCATTCGCTATATAATGCGCAATTTCCGACGCACCTCCACGTGCGCACTTGACCATTTTTACCATTTTCTTTCTGGTCAGCATTATCTGCTGTTTCACAAACGACGGAGACCAAACGAAAATCTTTGCACCGAATCAAAGCCACTTAATGCTGGTAGCCGATCGTAGGCCTATTGTTGTAGCTAAAAAGCTAATTGGTTAAACGTAATAACAAAGGAAGTAATGCATAACCGTGACGGACCGAGCGAGGCTGGAGGGCATCCCCCCTTCCCTCGCCTGCAAAAGTGGGTCGCGATTTTGTTCGAAAGTAGCTACATGATGAAAAATGTGCAGGTGACTTGTCGCTTGCGAGCACAGTGATTTTAAAAATTTTTTAAAGATGAAACTAGCTTTATAATGGAAATTTTTCTGAGGTTGAGCTTTTATGTTCCTAAACCTTTGGAAGGCTTTTCATTTTTCGTTGACCCTTCTCTCTCTCCACCCCTCCCCCCCCCCCCGCCTTTAAAGGCACCGTCCACCCAAAGCGAAGTTGATGAGATTTCGGTGGCATACTAGTGTGGGCCCCCACACTAGTATGCCACCGAAATCTCATCAACCTCGCTTTGGGTGGACGGTGCCTTTAATATGACTCTTTCTGCCGCTTTGTGTGCTTGATTACTTCTGTTCTATTCACCGAAGAAAACCAACGACATTCAGGACGATTTGCTGTCGGAGAAGTTGCGCTCCATTGCAGGCACACCCATTCTGTATATCAAATACAACGCAATACTTTTAGACCGAGTATCTGAGGTATTAGAGGCTTAGCAGTCACCTACTTTGCCAATTCTGTGCACTTTAGAAATCGAAAACCACTGCGGAAACCTCCAAAAGCGAGATCGAAAGGGTGAAAGAAATGAAAGCGGCAGTGCTTGGAGATGTAGAGAAGAAGAAAAAGAAACGGAAAATTAAGGTTGTAATTTACGCTGTATTTGGCTACTTTGGATTCACATCTGCTTCTAGGGTGCAAATCCATTATCTTGTAAAAAGAAAAAAGTTGATCACAGTAGTGAACAGCTTCCCAGAACGGCTAGCGGCAAGAGAAAGCGATCGAAGCGAAAAGCAGCTTTGGTTGGTGATACTTCGACAAGTGCAGCTTAGTTTTGCGCAGTTATCTGATTGTTGTTTTGTTTCTTTGTTGCTAATTCCTGTACACTGTTGGATATTGTTGCATAGTGTTGTCAATGAAAAATTAGTTCTCAAGGTATTTTTTTGGTGTAAGATCGTGCTAAAACGCCTTTTTCTTTAACTGAGTATTGCTTGCACTGTATTTTTATCCTGTCTTAAGATGAACGTCACCTCCATTTGCCCGCGTTCGCAATTGGTAGGATCAGTGTTGGCTCCATGCTCTTCAATACTGCTTCTCCCAGCTACGGAGGACTATCCTACTCAAGTCGTAGCTGGAGGAACTAATGGAGAGGTAAGATGCGGAAATTTGCGCGTTTTTCTATTTTGAAGTCTTCTGAGATTACCACATTTGCTTGAAAAGAAGCCATCAGAAACACATGAGGTTTGATTGTTTGAGGCAATCGATTTGTAAGGTGAACATCAAAGGCAGTGTCTCATCAAGTTTCGGGTGAAGTGGAACTTTATCTTATCAAAGGACCCCACTCCCAGTTCGGTAAGGTTAGGGCAAATCCGTAGATCTCCCAGATCTCCAATCCTTGGAAGACCTTGAAAAATGCTAGGCGAAAGAATGTTGGAAAATGTTACTTGCGGGAATCCTTTGATTCTGACAGAATTGCTTATTATTGAGCTACACATAGTCGGGAAGGTTTCTGATTTACAGAAATGGCCAATTTTTGGTGAGACACTGTTTCCAGGTTAACGAAGTTATACCGAAATATCTGTAAATAAATAAAAATAAAGGATGTAAAAATATAAATATAAGAAAAATATAAGAATAAATAAATATATAAAAAGTAAATATAAGAAATCGAATAAAATTAAATAATTAACTAAATTAAATATAAGAAAGCTCACACAGCACCACAGAAGTGCAGCAGGTAATCTCGTTCAAAACTGCAAAATTATAGAGACAGAGACATCCAGACCCAAGACTTTTTTATATCTCAGAAATACAGCGTGGTACCCACAGGTTCAATGTGAGCTTTAGATCACATTTTCATTGTGTAATCGCGGTTCAAAGAGTTTATGTATAGGTTTTTCGGTAAATCGCTATTGTTCATTGAGAGCTTCTTCGTATTTTATGCGGAGGAAGCATGCTTAACGAATTTGAGGCTTTTGCTGTACAACAATTTCTAATATTCCGGCCTAAATCAACTCGCAAATATTTGCGAATCAGCTCAGATAAAAGAGATACAGGGTGTCCCAAAATAATGTATCTTCGGCTCCCAGATTCGTGTGGAGGTGGAGTCTTGCCAACTCACCGCGTGGCGGTTTTTGCTAGCGAGAGATTACGAAAAGCAATGCTATGACGTGGAGGTTTAGCAAGTTTACATGTGTTATCAGGCAAAGTCTGCAATACACCTCCACACGAATCTGAGAGCCGATCATACACACTGTTTGATCGTTAACAAGTATCTTCCATCAGTATATTTCGCCAATTTTTGGGTAACATTCTCAAGTGCTGGCGCCAACTTAGAACAGTGTACAGCGGATAACCGTCCATTTGTTACGGTTTACCTGGGATAATTGAGAAAAAGGCATCAGAGTAATGTGGAAATTTCAGGTTTAGACTCAGCGACTCCGATTTGCCTAGTATAAGAGTTTTTGGCTTGTTTGTTTTTGTTTTTGAAGCAAAATTTATTTATTTATGAAGCAAAATATGGCTCTTAATGGCCTACTTTGTCGAGGTTCTTACCGTAATCCTGCAGCAATGATAAGAGATCGGCGATTCACTTCATACTGTGTACTCAAGTTGAAGCAGCTCTATAGAATGGTATAACAGGAGAGTTATTGAAGGCAGCGTCCCGGCAATCGTTTTTTTTCACAATTTCGAAGCCTTCTCGCCATGGCGAACCCATACCTGGGCCTTCTAGCGTAGGTTTTCTCGAAGCTTTCCAGGTCCGAGTAATTTCACTGAATGCGGACCTGTAAAGTTTCGAAGAAGGCTCACCTTTTCATGCGCTGAAAAGCCCAGATATGGATTTTTCATGGCGAGAAGGCTAAGTAGGTGAAAAACTGGACAACGAAATTTTGCCGTAACGCTGCCTTAGCGATCGAACAGAGTGCGCATCATTTTTGGACACCCTGGAAGGAAATACCTTCCAGGGTGTCCAAAGCTTCGAAAAGCTGAGCTTAAAATATTGCTCGAAGCATACATTGAACTTTGTGGTAGAGTTAGTTGAAGAAAAAGGAAAATTATGGAATTTGACAGGAAGTTTAACAGATTATGACCGGCTAGCAATTTTAGTGTGATCAGCGAAAGCATTGCTAGCTCTTCTTCTCTATTGAATACAGAACCTCCCATTCCGCAACTTCTAAGTACATGGAGGGTGGGATTGGGGGATGCCAATTACTAATAAATCTTTTGAACCATCGGAAATGGATGTACGCTTGAGGCTATATTTTTTAATGTGAGATTTTTGAATGCTTTCTTTGCTAGAAAGTTCGGAACGGACACCCAGATTCTTTGCACTCTTGATTGCTGCGATAAAATTCTTTTTAACAGTCTGGTTTTCTAACTGCGCATTTTTCACGGATTGTTTCGTACAATTCTTGAAGAATGAATAATGAATAATAATTTGTTGAATAATGTTTTTTATGTGTTGGAAATGAGGAAAACAGAGGCCGTTGAATGAGTGGGATAGGAAACATTGGTGTGCTATTGTTAGCCATAGGAGTTCAAAAACTTTCAGGTTTACTTCATGTGCGATGGTGGCACCGATGTAGTGAGAATGCATCCGAGAACTAATTCTCCAGTCACAGCCTTAGCTAGTGGCAACTTGAGAGGGAAAACGAGGTAGTGTTCTTTATGCCTTAATCGTCTACCACTTCTTGCATTTTAGGCCTGAGCTGATCGCTATATCGGCGGATGGTTTTTTACAATGTGTCATTCCCCCCTACACACTTAGCACCAATAATTACTCACAAACTATCCAGGTGCTGCATTTATTGCTTTTATAACCCTATCTCAGCTTATAATCGAACAATTCAACATTTTAGTCAAATATAGCAGCCGCATATGTGATGGATGTAGACGGTGATGGACAAGAAGAACTTGTAGTAGTGATGACTGATCGAGTAGGTAGGTCTAATCTATGAGACTGGGGGGACAAAAACTGGAAAATAGCGCTTATAAAGTTTACGAAGGGGTTAAGTTTTTCAATATTCTCGGCTAGTTAATCTAAACTTGCACTACCACTTTCATAGCTCCATGTTTCATAAGGCCCAACAGGGAAAAGCCGTTTGAAAATTGGAGCCAGCTCCTTTTGAGTAGAACTTGGTGTAGCCTTTATAATGAAGAGAAGTCTTTTAAGTTAGAGTATGCAAAAAGTTTATTTCACAACAAGCGCATTTGATTAACTTGGTACAAGCCATTACATTTGTAGTGCCTTTGCGGTGGCAACAGCACTTGCGCGCGAATAGATCGGCATGTTTCAGTGTCGATTTTTTGCTCGTAGAAAATGGCCATGAGTGCACATTTTTGAGATTGACGCTAATGGCCATTTCTATTCCGCGCAAGAGTTATCGCTAGTGCAGGAATGTGAAATGAGCTCGAAATCAACCTATAATTGAATGATCCGACCTGAGAAGGACCTTTGGGGAAGTTGCGCTCACCTTTTAGATCACATTTAGTTCGTACCTCACGTCTCTCTTACACCGATTCCTTGATGATGTTTTTGCACAAAAACACCACTGAACTTTCACATCATTCCCAAAAAGTACAAAATTATGAAATTAGCGCCATGTTCAGTACTCTGTTATTGTTCAGTGCGATCATTTCGATGGAACTCCGAAGACTCTCGCTTGCATCCCATCAACAAATGGGAAGTACCTAGCCAAGTTTCGGCTTTTTCTATAGGCGAATCCGTGTGAGTGCACTGTTTGAGGCTGCCTTTTGCTTGAAAAAAGCAAAGAAGAAGAGAAGAATATTTGTTTCGTTCAGGAGTTCATTACGGGGTGCGGAAGCATGGTTATCACAAGTAGCCTCTCGATTTTATGTTTGTGTACCGTTCTCCGGAGAACAGCCAACGGTTGTATATCCACAGAATAAGGAGTTTGGCTCAGACGTTATGCTGATTCCTTTCCGTTCACATTTCATTCATATAATGGGAACAATAATATCCAACATAGTCATCGTAGGCAAGTTATAATCTTATCAAATTTGGAAATTTATATTGTGTCGTTTTTTCCAGCGAATCAGAAGGAGCTCGTACTTGCAAATCCTGGATGGGGAGTAACAGCAGCAGCTGCCGTTCGGGACAAAGCTTTCAACTGTATCGTGACTCTTGATGTAACCGGAATGGTGCTTGTCTATGGCTACAATCAAGACAGCATTTCGGTGAGTCTTCAGTTGGTTGACAGCCAAGTTCTGCAACGGTACACTCTCTTATCCATGAAATAAAATGTAAAAGATTGACGCATTTCTCGAATTTGCCGGAAGTCGAAGTTTCGCTGATTTAAGCACGGATGAAGCCCTCTGCAACATAAACTAATCAAATCGAACCGAGAGACACCGTTGCAAAAGCTTGATTAATTAAGTTCAATTTAAAAAAAAAGAAATAAAAGTCGAAGACCGAGAACTTGCGCCTTCGAGGAGTCCGATGAACTGCAATCCGCCACGCTGCTGAGAATGTCCTCCAATGTTGAAGGAGTAGAAGTTGCTGGAACCATGCACAATGGGGTCATTTGATTTGTTAAAACAAACTTCATACCCCTGTTGGGTGAACCTCCGTGTGCGGTTGAAGTGAGGCATCTCGTAAGTTCACCACATCTCCAAAAAATAGCCATGTGAAATGAGTATCATGTTTGCGATCATAATAAGAATTTCTCAGCCTACTAGACCCAACTCCGGCTGAATTTTTATTATTTTCCGTCTTCCATATACCTACACTAATGTTCAAAAACGAAAAAGAAAATAGCAGAGTGCTGACTGGGTCTCACACAAAGACTGATTCATAGACGGTATTGCACCGTTGCCAAATTAATAAATTGCCAAGGTTAAAAAATTGTTTTGAAAGCATAGAAATCTAGTCTGCGGATTTCAGAAATATGTTGAGGAAAGTAGTGTGTCTGTGTGGCAAAATATCAGAAATTGCACTTAATTCTTAGACTTTACGAATAAAAGAAGATAGAAAGTCTTACTTAGTTCTTGTGTCAGTCAAGGGCATAAAGCGAATGAAGTTTGAACAGACTTCCTTCGCTTTATGAACAAGTAAAAGACATTCTAGATATTTGGTCGTAAATATTTTCTGCTTTGATAGGGTGTGGAATCAAAATACACAGTTCATGCTCAAATAGTGTTAGGCACGGAAAATTGGGACCAGTTTATATTTATTTCTAAGCATGCGAGGCATTACTACCCTAGTTTCATGCTTACAAGGCGCACCTTTTCAATTTTCCGACCAAGCCCCTCAGCCGCTTTAAATTATTTCGGAAAGCGATTCTTATGCCTTACGATTCTCTTTAGCAATATACAGCAAGACATAGGGTCCTTTGCGGAAGTTCTTTGACGTATTTGGGCTGGTCGATTTTGGAAAAAAATCCCCCGCGCCTTGTACGCGTGAAAATGGATACTTGTAGCATTCAGTAGAGTGTAAACCAAGCAAATCAGACAAGAGCTTTTCATATTTCAAGAATAATCAAGGAATAGACGATGATAGTGAATTCTGTCTGTTTGTAGAAAGCCGAATTAACCCCTCTTCTATGCTTCAAAACATTTTCGCATGCCACTTACCTGACGCTCACATCATCCAACGAAAAGTTATTGATAGGTGAGATTGCCTAGTCATCTTGAATGACTTCATACTCATGTTTACTACTTTCAGCTGTTATGGGTGTTGTGGGAAACGTAGTGCTGTATGAAATACTCATGAGGACGATAGTAGCCGAGCTCGGTGAATCCTGAATATATATGATTGTTCATTTGTCTGTCGCTAATTTGTGTACATTCTTATTTGCCCGATAAAGATGCAGGAAATTGGAGGAACTTTTTGAATCCAGAGTCTGATAAACAGCGCCTGTCCAGACCGTGATTACTGAGGAAGCACTCGAATGTTTCGGAATCATCAGTTCACAACAAACTAGCAGTACATCCATGTTGAAGTAACTTCTTCTTGCCCGCGATTAGACTTTAAAAGTTTTGCTTTTCAGCAATCTTCGATTAACCATGATTTTGAAGCTTGTTGGATGAATGGAATTTTCATGGTGCCATGTGCTATCGAAGTAGTACTCAGGTTTAGTAAAAAAAAGCGGTGTATACCACATGATATCCTTTCATCAATTTCGATCATAAACCCCTCAAAAGACTTCTGCAAAAAATCTGTAACTTTTCCTTACGAGACGCTATGAATGACATGTTTGAAATGAGCTAAGCTATGCTTCGAATAAATCACTGTTTTTTGCATCGAAGATGAATTTTGTGACGGCTGTGACAGTATAATTCATCACCATGGCTTTCCGGTTGCGCAAAGCTCATTTGGATTCGATGACTCGTCTTTCATCTTTAGAGCTACCGTATGCATGTTGCTCCATAATATAAAGAGAGTTTGATATCTGAGGATCAATTCTGTATTAGGAAGAGTTACCCCGAAACTGTTGATCATTTTTTCCCTTCCTACTTTAGGATCCCGTCAGACTTTGCCTAGAGGGGCTCAGAAGCTCTCATCACTTCATACACGGCAGCTAGTAAGACCCTCATTCGACATGTAATCCTCACCATTGCCGTTTTCCTCTCTAATTAAGTACTAAGTAGTCAAAAGGAAATAGCGTTTTTTCGCGTTACTGAAGCTAAAACCATATTTTTCGGAAAATAGTGTTTCTACAGGTCTGCAATATAGTTGTGCTTCCGAAAGTTTGTAGTAAACAAATGGTAAATGGGAGGGCGAGGTTTACTGGAAGTGGAGTTCCCATTTTTTAACTATTCCTTTTTCTTAAATTCTAATCACGAAAAAACTGCTTGTTTTGCTCTAGTAAACAGTATTTCTTATACAACTTTTGTTATCTTCGATATCATGGGAAGCCTCTCGTTTCCTTAACAACCTAATACAAGGAAAAGTCTCCCAAATTTACAGACCTATCTCAAAAATCGTTCGCTTCAAATTCCTAAGATAGTGATGAGAAATCCAAATGAATTCTTGAGAGTGACGCACTTGTCTCTTTTTTGCTGGAAAAGCCAAGGGCAATATTGCGGGACTACAGCCAAACGCAGGATTTGCAAGTACAAATAGTTTCTGTTTGATTAACGCCTGTCTAATTCATCTTTCTTTTTTTTCCTATTCCACCGAACTCTCAACACCTGCTAAGAGCCTCTCTACTCCATGACATAAGGTAACATAAAAGAAGCAGCCAGGAGGCCGGATCTAGAGCTATAAAGATCCGAATATCTTAAAGAAGAACTGTGCATGGCAGTCAATACTGTTTTTATTTCTTAGAAATTCAAGAAGATTGCTTAGAATTGATCTCCCAACATTCTCGGGGTAATTTGCATTTTTTTCTTACAAGTTTTTTCCATCTTTCAAGCATTTTTCATAACTCAAGTATTTTAATATTCCCTTATAGGAAGCGGAAACGCAACGCTTGCTCCAGCGGACAGTAATGCACTTTCGCCTTTTGGAAAGGGAACGAACCCGTAGAATCCACCATAAAAATTTCTTTGGAATAATCTGCAACAAGTTACTACATCTTTCTGGGGACCAAACAAAAATTCTAAAAGCCATTGTAGTAGTGAAAGGACGACAAGACTAATTTTACACAAAACGCTGACATTATATGATTTCGCAAGATTATTATCGTGATCTAGCTCAGCACTTGTTTTTTTTTTGGTGTGTTTTCATGTGTATTTTATGGTCGAATAAAACATAAATGACTGAAAGTTCATTATCTGATCCGCTTACGCATTGCTGCAAATTCTAAATAATTGAAAAGAATCACGGATAATGAATTTCCTTCTGCTTTTTACGAAGGTCCAATAGGCTATGTGGTCGTTACGTCAAGTACAAAACTTTAGCTGTTCCTTGATGGCGAGGGACCCAATCCTCGAGAATGGGACTCGAGTTTTTTGAATGTTTCCTTCATATGTTATAAAAATGTGCAAATGACTCGTCTTCATTTGCAAACAGAGTTTTCAGAAAATTTTCAAATCCAAATTAGCTTCATAAAAAAAGTTTCCGGAGCATGTCTGCCACTAAAATTTTTTCGAAAAGCCACCGCTTCATAGATAGGATTTGTACATATTTACCAACTCTCTGTGCTTTGCTTAGCTTACGAGTCGATGAACAGTCGATGTCGATGAACTAGAATCGTATGCTACCCAAAACAGTTTCGCCTCTCCTTTTCGATTTGTTTTCCTATCAAAATTACTTAGACGTAGTTCCTGGTACAACAATTGTCACGATTGTAGCAAAGTACATAGAAGCGCCTACATTTCGGTGTAAATATATCTCATTCTTTTATTAACTTAAAATCTCTCTGATAAAATAATTTTTTAATTGTCCTCACCATGAATTGCTAGTAGGAAAACTTAGTTTTGTAAGCATTTCAGTTTGCCTTCCGAGTCGTCCTTTGAACCCTGGATCCCACTCGAAGCAAAGTTGCAGCGTTCTAATGGAATCGAGCACACCACAGATATGGAATGCGCGCAGCAAGGTTCTTGAATTGGCGAGTCAAATCGGGGACTTGTGTCGAAGGTCTGCAAGGGCTACTGTCGAACGAAGACGCAGAACCTAGAGGCGCGACGCGATTTTATTAGCCACAGAGCGCATGAAGCGCAGGATTCACAACGGTGAAGATGCGCGGGCACCGCATTAGCGCCCACTCAAACAATATAAACAGTTGTAGCGGTGGAATCCGGCCAAAATTGCTGAATTTGCTGGACTTGCGGGATTTGATTATTACTTCTTCTAAAACAATTTTATTTGGAAGAAGATGCAAGAAGATTAGGCTTCAGCTTGATGACACGAATCTTTTAGTATACATTATGCTCGTTTTCCATGGTGCATTGTATTGTAGTGGCATATGTTATGAGATTATCAACATGTATTGTTGCTCATATGAACAAATTTTGAAAATAACAAAGTATTAGGGTGATCGGTAAAAAATGGGACACTTACGAAATAACTCGAGGTTTCTCAAGAAAGAGAAGTGATTAGATTTTCCAATTTTGATAGATGTTAGAATATGTTATTCTCTTTCAGATAATACCTATATAAGGTCATTTACATAACTGATAATTTTTATACTTGCTGAAATGCAAAGTTATCACTTCGATAAATTAAGTTTGAGCATATCTGCGCAGTGAAACATGTGAGACCACCCAAAGTACCACTGCTGGAGTGGGTGGTGGGACAGTCACTAAACCCACGACGGTGTGGTGGCCTCAACTTTCAAAGTGGAGATATGGCCATTAGCAGCTTCGAGAACAAAGATACGCGTTATTCAATTCTTAGCATGTGAACGCAGGTTTTGTAGGTACCATCTGGTAAACATTTTTACGCTCTATCCATCTATATGCAGCTTGCCTCAGATTTTATCTATCTTCAGAAAATAAAAAGCAAAACATGATTTTTTTGGTTTTTATTGCGCCGAAATGGCTATTTTTCAGGTTTTTTCGCTTTTTTTTCTGAAATTGAAAAGAAATCTCAGGCATTCAACATATGTTTGAAAGAGCATGAAGAGCTCTTTCGAATAATATGTCACTTGGTTTATGACTTTACGGCATAGCAGCGCAAAATTGAGAATTGTTCCAAAAACCCTGTCTGAGTTCTTTACGGTGCCACGCGTACGGTTGTGAGAGAGGAGCGCTAACGTGTTGCCAGAATAATAGGCGAAGGTCGGTCATGTAAACGACGTTGAGTTGCAGCCTGCTTGTTGTTGGTGAGAACAAAAAATCTCAAAATGTGGTAAAAATCAAGCTGCCCCATTTTTTACCGTTCATCCTAATGGTATCATATGTCTACCGTATCACAGTGGACTACGGGCATAACACTGAAAGACTCGTCTCATCAAGCTGAACCCAAATCTTTTTGCAGATTCCAAATAAAATTGTTTTGAAGAAGTTATAACTAAACCCCACGAATCCCGCGATTTTGGCCGGATTCCACCGCTACAACTGTAGGTCATGTTTAAAATTGGATGGTTCTGACTACGATCTTTCGCCCACAGGGGTATGATCCACTTATACGAAAAGGTACCACCTCAGCACTCAGCTCAATCACTTTCACTGTCTAGATACTATCATACGTAAACATACGAACCCGAGTTAAGACGAAAACCAAGAATGCGGTTCTTGGAAGTGGCGAGTCGCGCGCTGTCGCGCCATCGTCACGATTTCTTGAATGATCTAAAGCTTCTGCGTCTCCATCTAGAAAAAGCCTTTAAATGCAATTAAAAGAGGAATGCGTGCTTGCACGTTAATCTTGATAGGAGGGTGAGTAATCCGTACGAGATTTATGCAAAGCATCATGACTTATAATAACGGGCTAAGGATGTTTACGTGACTTTGTGTGTGTGTTTGTGTGTCTGTTACGAAATTCGTGGAGCGTGTTCCAGCAAACGTCCTGGGCCCAAATTTTGCACAGCACATGCTACCAGCACAAAACTCCACCATGCAAAAGCATGAGCGGATTCGTTGAGTGGATCCCTCAGAAATTGCGCACCAAACGGGTCCACCTGGCTTCTGTACCGCAAAATACGGTCCGTATCACTTCTTTTTGCAGAGTTGTGGATGAGTTTGGTAAGCAAATGTGCAAGCGATGGAGTTTAGGCAGAAAAGTGGTCGAAAGTTTACTACATAACGAAAACGGCGCCAAAACGAATTAGTTGTGTAAATGGTCAATTTGCCAAGGTTCTAGCTAAGCGTTTGAGAAAATTTCCGCACAGAGATGTAGCTCACGGTTATCATTACCTTTA